GAATTTGTTAAGTATTTGTTCTTCTTCTTTCTCCACATATTTTTATATGTGCTAAAATTGCTTCCGCTGTGTGCTCGTATTCTTCGTGCCAACATGACGTTGACGCAAGAGAGATGCAAAAAAGCCTCACATGAGTTTGTTTTGGCTCATGAGTCTTCTAACCTTGTAGACTCTTCCTATATAATTGATCGACTACGTAGATTCAACACTGCCTTGAAGAGCAACAGAGGTGCAACAAGAATAGTGACCTCTGGTACAAAGTCAGAAAGGGTTCTTGAATGTAGTAAGGCTACCGATGAGGTTGAGCGTGATCGAAAGATTAGAGAATACATTGTTTTCGACTTTGGTGATGATTATGGCAAGAGGGGTTATTCAGATCTAGATGACGACGAGTTCTTTTACGGAAATTTGGATCCCAGCCTCACTGATAACGTAGTTGTGTTTGACAACATCTGTCTCACCGAAATTGAGGATAGAAAGTATCGAAGAGATGAGATATTTACGCTGTCACCATTGACAAAAGAAGATTTGGAGTTTTTTACTTCTCAAGGGGAAAAATCTTCATCCACGATCTCTGGTTTCTTGGGTAATAGTTGCAATCCTACGTCATGTGCATTTTTCAAGTTTTATTAATTTTGTGAGTTACCACTTCTTTTTATTTCCAAAAGTAGTAAGAGTACAATTCTTTCTTTGTTTCATAATGTTACCTTCATGCAAGCGCCCCCCAAGCTTAGCTAATGATTTCAAGAAGTAAATGCTTTCGTTTTTCTTGAATCAAATCTCAATTCAATTTTGTTTTGTAATTTTGTGCCCAATTCGTTTTTCATTGTGGAGAATTACACGAGTAAAATAGTAATGGCACTTTGCTTCCTCCGTGAATGAGAACAAGAAAAATAATAACCCCTACTTAACGGCAAAAACATGAAAATTCCATTACTTGCATCGCTACCAGTCAAATTGACACATTCCAATTGCGGACACAGAAATATTTTGCTCTTTTAGTGCAAATTCAATGTCATATATACTAAGCTCAAAGAGAACATAGAAACGTGCGGGCAAATTCTATCACTACATTAAAATATGAGCAGGCAAGTAATACGAAATCAAGAACTGTATAAGAAAGTAAACAATTAATTACTCGTCGAAGAAGAATATAAGAAGCATATACGTGGGAATATTACATACGCATAAACTACAATGGGATGAATTGTGTATTTCTGAAGTAAAGGAGACCGAAAAGCTTCAAAATCAACAGATATTTCATGCATCGTAAAGATGTCGATGTTAATGATATGCGAGTCAGTAACAGATGTCAGGGACAACTTGGAACGGGGATTTAGCCCCTCCAAATCCAATGGAGGAATGGAGCTTCTCCTCTTTCTCACACTTTCTGCAGTTGCAGCTGAAGTTGGCATCTCTGCCAATGCTGCAACTGAAAATAAAAAATACTAGTATTAAATTATCTGGGCTTCTTAATCCAATCAACATCGATCAAATAACTGATTGCTTTCTTCCCAAAGGAATCATCTCAGGAAAAAATAATGATAACAAAAAATGTTTCGTTGTTTTTTCTAATAATGATACCATGGTCCCAAAGACTGCAAGTCCCGGCGCAAAAACATCAAGATTGTCGTTTTTGTTGCTAGTGCTGCATAATGTTATGGTACATTGCCTTGGACCATTGATGTTCTTAGCACATCTTAAATTCCAAAAATTTAAAGCAGAAGAGGCACTTTATATGGCTGTGAAAAGAATTTGAGTAGGAAATTAATGACCCTTAATTGACAAAATCACCATTGGTTGCGTCCTCCTTTTGGAGGGATTGGAATTTGGAAACAAAATGAATAATGAGATCGGGCTGGAAAGTGTTACTTTGAAAAAAAAAATGGCGATGGCTAGAAAGAAAGAAAGTTGAACAAGAGGAGACGAATAAAAAGAACAGGAAAGGAAAAGGTTTCAAGTTTCTCCCTTAGTCAAAATCTCTTTCGTCCAAGAAATAGCTTCGAAATTAGCGACACATGTCTGTGAGGTGGAGGGCATTGCGGGAGGTAAATGCGTAAAATGATAATTTGTTGAGTGCACTCCGATATTAAAATCAGTTAAAATGAGTAAAATGATAATGAGGAGGGCACTCAAGACTGTAAAAAGAAAAGGCTTCCTGTAAAATACACTCCATTATCAAAATGCTACGAGTAGGTTTTGACATGACCTTAGCCTACCAACCAACCCATCCTCGCGACAAACAGTGCAAGTTTGGCACTTGGCAGGCACACATGGGCAGTCAGTGGGATGTCCACTGCCCCAAACCTAGTCAGTATTTCTATTTCCCCTCTATAAATTGCCCAGCAACTGAGGCCTTCTTGCACACATTCACACTTGCCCCATCTAATCTACATCAAATATTTCTCGTCTCCTCTCCCCAATTCTGCACTAGCATTGCTTCCCCAGAAGAAGAGGAGAAAAAAGAAAGAAAACTTCTCAAGTAGGAGCAGCAAAGTAGCAATGAAGATGAAGTTTCGTCATGCGGTTGCAGCCTGGTTGGTGATGCTGGTGGTGGCCGTCGGTGAGGTCCAAGTGAGCAGGGCAGTTACCTGCAGCATAACAGAGCTGAGTCCGTGCCTTTCCGCCATCAATGGGCCCAACCCACCGTCTGCGGCTTGTTGCGCCAAGCTGAAGGAACAGAGGCCTTGCTTTTGTGGGTACATCCAAAATCCCACCTATGCTCAGTACGTCAATTCCCCTAAAGCCAAAGGCATTGCTAAAGCCTGTCAAGTCTCGATTCCCAACTGCTGAGTTAATGGGAAAGGCAAGTTCTCGCCTCATGGAGGCTGGTCATGATATATACTACTACTACTATGTATTCTCGCCTCAATAAAAGTGGTCTTTACCTGAAACTACTGAAAGGGAACGGAGGCATATATGATTATATATGTATGTACTAAACTGCTTTGCTCCTCCATCATCTCGTCCTCGAAGCGCCATGCACACTCTATTTCTTGAATGGTTTCATATGCATTCCAATTAATTATTCTAGAAGATAATTTGCATATATAGTTTTGCAATCGATCGCTTTAACTTTCATTTCTGTGTACAGCCATACCATCCGTCACTCACGCTTTAACCTTTTTTTTTTTTTGGCGATACGACAAATTAATGAAATGGGAGCATAAAAACAGAGTATTTGAAACACAAGTTTTTTTTTTTTTTTTTTGGATTGAAGAACCCCAGCAGCATCTTGCAATGCTTAAACATAATAGAAAAGGTCAGACGAAGGGAAACCAGATCGATAGCTGGTTTCTCAATAACAATCCTCAGAATCTCTCATAGGAGTCTTCCCTCAGTATCATAATAGTTTTTTTTTGTGGGAAAAACTCAGCAGAGCAGAATCATAGAAGCGGAGCCTTCTATAAGTTAATATGCATTAACCACCGACAATTGAATACCAATGTCGAATTATCATATCAGATAGGCAATGATAGGCAAGGGAGGGCCGCTACAAAGAAGTTTCAAAATTAAACGTACAAATGAAGCTGATGTCCATATAATTACTAGTTGAGATGATTGTGGGTCTAAGAAACTTCACTTTCGCAACTCTTTTTCTTCCAATAAACAACGACAACCGAAAATTCATTCAAGTCATCACAAACTGCATCAACCTTCTTCTCTCTTTGGACCTTTTTTCAGCACATTACGTGCCCCCGTCTACGTTTTTTTTTTTTCCTTGGAAGCGCACTCTTATGAGATGACGAACCTTAATAAGAGGATAATAATAATGCTAGATATTATTATATTGTTCTCCTTATTAAAATGTATTAGCCTATTAGGATATAATAAGAGAGAGTAATTCAAGCCTCGTACGAAAAATTTTAGTATTCGATTGAAATAAAAACATGTCCGTCTGTTTTCATTGGAAGAAAACTACAAAACAGAAACTTATACACTACTCTTTCTATAACTTTTTACTGAGCTTGGGGTCGTCAAGACTCACGAGAGGGAAGTCTTCCTTTCCGGACAAAAAGAGCGGCTGGTTAGGCGGATGACAGAGAGAGGTGGGCAAGTGAAACGTAGTATGAAAACTTGACTTCTTCCAGCTGGCTATACAAATGATTCTTCGCTCCCATCCAAATCCAGACAAGACGGGGACGATGAGGTTCGCGACAGAAATTATTATCATGATTAGTGTTAAAGCCACCCGTGATGATGCGTGTGTGTGCATTCTAAAAATACTTTTTTCGACAAATTAATTTTACTTAAAATTTTCGTTACTACAGCAAATTGTGGTTTGCTTGAACCCTTTTTTCCTTCCCTATAAAATGATGATTATTTTAGTAGTAGTTACAATGATTAGAGGTAGTTATTTTGTCAAGGTGTGTTTAGATAGTCCTTCCCTATTTTCTTTGTTGCCATTATTGCTTCTGTGCTTTGAACCAATAGATAAAAGAACAGGATCAATTTCATTTCCCGGGTCAGGCCGATGCTAGAAAAATGGACTTCTGCCGGAGTTATTCTTGTGATTTTCTGAAATGCGCGTGCAGAAATAACGGAAATGGGCCGCGAGGCGTTTGACACGTAAGGACGACGACGAAGACTTGAATGAGTCAGGAGACTAATCAGTCATGCCCTCTCTTCAGTCTTCTCTTGCAATTCACGCGGGAGAAATTAGTGGTTGACGTTGAAACTTTTGGCCAAATGTTGAAACTTGAAGGTGGAAAATATTGGAAAAGCCACCAAGATTTTTAAAAGATTTTCCACTTCATTCATTACAAGCAATTAGGCCAATGTCAATTTCCTAGTGAAATTTGGCACGAAACCTCTCGTCTTATGGACTATAGTAAATGGGACCTATTACTATATTTATTCCTGGCTAATCCCTTTCACACCTCTATTTGACATTATTGTCTGCGACTAATAATGAATCAGCCATGACTAGCAACATTTTACCAACTCCGTCTTCACTACAAAGAATTTGTAATCCTCCTATAAATAGCTTAGCAGGATTGCACCTCTTCCTCAAATTCTCATAACCCTTCATTCATTCCAAAAAAAAAAAAAAATGAAGCTTTCGCAGATGCGTCTGTGTAGCGTGTTACTGTTAGTAGTGGTGATTGTTGGTGAAGTGGAAGTGAGCAGGGCAGTGACATGTACTCCCACGGAGCTGAGTCCTTGCGTTGCGGCAATCATAGGGCAGCAGCCACCGTCGGCGGCTTGCTGCAGTAAGCTGAGGGAGCAGAGGCCCTGCCTCTGTGGTTATCTCAGAGATCCCAACCTCCGGCAGTATGTCAACTCCCCTAATGCTCGCAGGGTTGCTAGCTCCTGTGGTGTGCCCACCCCAAGATGCTAAACTCCTCCTCCGTTGCAACAATTCTGGATCATTAATAGTAGTAGTACTTAAATATTTCTACTCCTACTTTGGATAATACGAATGAAAGAGCAATAAATAAATGTTTTACCTATATCACATCTTGCCTATTAGGCTTGTATGTAATGCCGGGATTAACTTAAGTACCATATGTTACTGCTTCGGTATCTCTGCTCTCCATTTATTTAATTCTATTATTACACTGCACAATTGTCTTCCGATGGAATCAGATCCTTAATATAAAAGTAAGATAACCAATTCGGTCGATCGATCAGGTTAGAATTTGCGTTTTGCCCCCGTTGGTAAATGGTAAACTCATAGCATAGCCACAAGCAACAAACTGCCCTCTCTGATTGCATTTTTAGCCCCAAAAAAAAAAAAAAAAAGCGAAGAGAAGAATGAAACACTAAGAACATAAGAGCCAACTGCCGTAGTTGTGAATTTGAGTTTTTTTTTTTTTTTTTTTTTTTTTTTTTTGCATTCTCTCGTGCAACTGACCACTTCTTTTTCTCTATTATTATCAGTGCTAAGGGCACACCTATTATACTGTATGTGCAATTTGGAAACAATTATTCAATAGATTTTTTGAATAGGATTTTAAGTAATTCGCGGTGATTACAAACACTCCATGGATGGTTATAGTTTGAATAGTTAGGGTCAAAGGTAGTTGTTGTTATATTGGTTGACAAAATGAGCAATATGTGATTAGACAGTAAAAAGTAAAATTAAATATTTATATGGATAATGTTGATACTATAAAAAGTGACGAGAAATGTTTATACCAAATTCATGGTTCTTTCTTTATATATAGTATAAATTAGTTCTAAAGGCTTGCGCACACAATATGTGTGCATTTTAGAAATACTTTTTTACAAGTAATTTTATTTAAAACTTCTTTCCCTATCAAATGATGATTACTTTACAAGTAATTTTTACAAGTAATTGTTTAGAGGCAGTTATTTTATCAAGATGCGTTAAAATAGTTATGGGGGAAAAAATATTTACAGCTAGTTATCTTAACAATTCATGTTGAAATAGTGAAGTAATAATTTCACATAAGCAAAGTTCAAAGTGACAGCAAATATTTATCCCAAACCTTCTAGTTCTCCCTTTATATATTATAGATGTTGACTTTATTCTGGATTAAACAACGATCAAAACAGACAAACTAAAAAAAAAAAAAGGAGTAAAAAAATTCTTGGATGCAGTTCATTCTCACTTTTTCCTTCCATAATTAATAACTTCCTGGAGAATTTGTCATTTCCTTGGAGTATCTCGAGTTAGAATTTAAAGATAAAATTGAAATCCTCCGATTTCCCTGGAGAACTGGAAATACATCTGGGGGCATCACAGTACCAGATATACGCATTACCCAAAAAATGCAAAAATAGTATTCTCAGTTTGGGGCGTGACCGATCATAATGATTTGCATCATGTTTATCCGTTTTAAACACATTAATTACCTTCCGACCACCACTTTAGCAATCTTTCTAGTTCCTCTGCCAAAAGCATTAGCCATTTTTGCGTCTCAGTTCGAACCAATGGATGAAACGGCTGAATCGAAGGGGAAGCTTTTTGTTCCCGGGCCAGGCCGGTATTAGAAAAATGGACATCTGACGGAGCAGTCGCGTCATTTTCTGAAGAAGAAACGGAAATGGACAACGAGGACGACTTGGCGTTTGACAGGTAAGGACACCGGCGAAGACTTGGAATGAATCGTGAGTCTCCAATGACTAATCCGTCAGTCATGCCTCTCTTCTCTTGCAATTAGCCAATTCCTGGCACAAGTTGGAACTAATTTATTCCTGGCTAACGTGCTAATCCCTTTCAAAACCCCTATTTGACATTGTCTGCGATTCATAGATCAGCCACGACTAGCTAGCTAGGGATACTAACATTTTACCTACTCCCTCAATCACGTCTTCACTGCAAAATATTTATAATCCTATAAATAGCTTAGCAGGATTGCGTCTCTTCCTCAAATCCCCATAACCCTTCATTCCTTCGATAACTATATCCCTTCTGGAATACTCATATAACCCACCAAGAAAAAGAATTAAAAAAACGAAGTTTTCTCATATGGGTCTGTGTAGTGTGTTACTGTTGGTAGTGATGATTGTTGGTGAAGTGCAAGTGAGCAGGGCAATAATATGTAGTCCAACGGAGCTGAGTCCTTGCGTTGCGGCATTCATATCGCAGCAGCCACCGTCGGGGGCTTGCTGCAGTAAGCTGAGGGAGCAGAGGCCCTGCTTCTGTGGTTATCTCAGAGATCCCTACCTCCGGCAATATGTCAACTCCCCTAGTGGTCGCAGGGAGGCAAGCTCCTGTGGTGTGCCATCCCCCCTAGTGGTTCGAAGTCTCGGCCGATTTTTCGGCGAGTTAAATATTTCGGTATTATTTCGTTACGGTATCGTATCGGTAAGGGCCGAGACGGTGACGACTCGGCCGAGTCGTCTCGGTCTCGGCCGAGACTTCGAACCATGATTAGACTTGTTATGGTTCTTATAATGCGGGGATTAAGTAAGCACACGTTTCTGCTTCGGCATCTCTCCTTTCCCTTTATTTAATTCTATTATTACACTACACAATTGTCTTCTGATGGAACCAGATAATCCACATAAGTGTGATAACTAATATGATTATGGGGGGTCGATCAGGTGAGAATTTGCATTTTGCATCAGCTGGTGAGCTTAGAGTGTAGCCACAAGCTACTAAGTTTCTCTCTCTGACGGCATTCTTACCAAAAAATGCAAAGAGAAGAATGAAACTCCACTAACATAAGAGCCAACCGTCGTCGCGAATTTGAGCTTCTATCCTTGATGAATCCAAGTCGAATTGAGAAAGAAGAATAGAAAAATCAGCAGGAAGGCAAAAGAATTTGTAAGGAATGGTATTACAAACACAAATCAGATTCTCAGTGTCATTTAACCAGTGACAATTTGGTATCACTCTTTCATTCGATGCTAAGTGTTCAATTAATTTTAATTAAAATTAAATATCACGTTTAAGAGTGGTACTGAATTGCCACTGAGACAATGGCGCTGAGGATCTCAATTGATTACAAACAAGCCAAAATAAATTTAAAAATTCTCACCAATATCCAATGTTTTGAAAACCGGACCGGACCGGCCGGTTCGACCGGTTGAACCGCGAACCGGGCATGGCACCGGTCCGATTCTATGCTCTAGTTGACTTTGCCAGAGAACCGGTCAAACCCGGTAAAAACCGGGAAAACCGGTGAACCGTGTTGAACCGGTTTTTGAGTTTTTTTTTTTTTTTTTTTTTTTTTTTTTTTACTTTTTGCAAAATATTTTTATCAAGATTCGAACTCAAAACCTTTGTAATAGAAGACCAATGTAGTAACCATTGCACCATCACATCTTATTTGCTTTTTTTGATAACTTATTTATATAAAACAAACATCTATATTTCATTTTTCCATTTTTCTTACAAAATCTCATTCTCTCATGACTCTTTCTTTTTAATCTTCAACTCTTTCTTTTCTCCCTCATCTTTTCTTTTGTCACTCCATTTTTAATCAAACCTCATTAGTTTTAATTTATTGATGTTTTCTTCTATCTTTTAATTTTGTTTTTGCCCATTAAATTGGAAAAAGTTAAAAAAGAATTATTTTTCTTTAACCCAAATTATTTAATGCCACAACCACTCACTTTTATCTCATTTTTTGTTTCTTATCAAGTTTGCATTTCTATTTTCAATTCTCTTAACTTCTTTCGAACTCCAAACTTTCTTTTTTAAATTACAATCTTTAAATCTCAAAGACGTAAATTAAAATTTAAGTTCACAATATCAAATTCTCATAGACGTGAATTTGTATAATTTCAAAATATTGTGATATTTTTGGGTTGTATTTAAGATTTTTTTGGTAGATATAATTGAAATTGAGATGAAATTTATTTGTTTTAACTTATAATTTAAATAATTTATTTTTGAAAATCCAAATTATTCAAAAATAGTGAACTTTTCATCATATAAAGTTTTAAATTAGTCCATTGCATGTCTTATTTTGTGCATATATATATTTATATAAATTATTTTTAAAAAAATTCATTGAACCGATGTTGAACCTCGACCCTTTCACCTCACCGGTTCAATTGACGGTCCGGGTTTTAAAACATTGCCAATATCCCACATTGGCTTCTTTACTACTAATTGTAATGTATATAGTTCTTGTAAACATTAAATCTAGAGAAATTATGCACGGCATTTCAGCATTTTGTGGGTAGTTTATTGCTTTAGTGCATAGCTTTTGTACCTAGTTTATTTTATTTTTGGTATGACTAAATAGTTTTTTGCATTGGCAGTGACCTCATGGCACTCGTCATAATCAGCTACTTCTGATCAGTCTTGAAGGAAATAGCCGACAGACATCGACTTACATTAAACCATCATTTTTTTTTAATAGAAAATTGATTGCTCCAAACACTTGTTCAACATGATAACATGCATAATTGGGATGTCTTTGGCTACCGCCCAATTTAGATCAATGCACGCCAAGTAGTCGCAAGCATAAATGAGTTGCCAATATTGATCTGAACAAAATCAGAATATTAAAAAAGAAATAAAGGAAGAGATCAATTTTGACTTTAGCTACGAGGGGAGGTCAGCCCCAGCCAATCGGTTGCTAGGATGCCCTTCTCATTGCTAGTTGGGGAGAGCAGAGACAAAAGCCAGACTGGCTATGTTTGGATATCAAATTTTTTTATCTAATATTTCGCTTGCATGATAAATATATTTCTTAACTTACATATATATATTTTTAATTACATTTTTGTTTTACATACATCAGATCACAAAAAATGTTACAATAATTATTTTAAATAATATTTCAAATAATATTCTATCCAAACAAACCCAGTACAACTATTGGTATTACTACAACTATTAGTGTTACTGTGTTTTTAAAACCTGGACGCTATTGGTATTAAAACCATTCCTATTTTGGCAAAGATTAGAACTTAGAAGTGGAAGTGAATGCTACAACTTTGTTTACTTTTTATGTCTTTTCTTCTATTCCATCACAACTCCTTATTGAGAATACTTCAAAAACTCTTGGAAAGCCTTAAATTACTTTCTCCTACTGGGAAAGTTAGAAGAAACTGTTAACTGCAATGCGATCCACATATAATAATGTTTTGAATTAGAACAGAAACGTGCTCTAACCCCATTTAGTAAGCATTCAACGTTTTAAACTAATTACTAACAACTGGAAAAAGATTGATCCTCAAAAGAATGGCCAAGAACTAGAACAATTGCATCATCTTGGAAACCTCAGGTCGCTTTGCAACGTTCCTCCCATATGACGAAGTAAATTAAGCCCTGATCCAATCCAACAACCAAGGAGAAGCAAATTCAGTGAACCAAAAAAAAAAAAAAAGGGTGCACCACCTGGCTATCAATAAAACAGACCAAAAGCATTAATTAGTCAGATGAAACTGAACCAGATGTGATTAATGGATTCTTTGTGCTTAGTCGCCATTGCGTATACAGATACAATCATCATTCCCCCGACCTACCAAATTGTCTCTTCATGCTTCAAAAGAGCCACCAAGCAAGCACACTTTTATGTGTCCAATAACATGCATGCATGCATCCATCCAGTTGTACCTGATAGAAGAACCGCCACTGGATAAGCCTTCATTACAATAAAACCCATGATCACAAAGCACAGGATTGTTTGTAAATTTTCGTTTTTTTTTGGCTTTCTGGGTGATTAGTTACTAGTATTTTGCATTTGCATGTTTTGTTTTTATCATGTGTTTAAAAAAAAATCTTTTTGTCAAAAAATGAAAATAAAGAAACAAAATAAGATTGGCTACATTAACGTTAGTCCTAGAACAAGATTGGTCCTGGTCATTTTGCCACATGAGCTCCTCCTCAGCTTTGACTCCATTAGATAAGTACGACTCGAGCCACGTGTTAATCTCAGCGACGTGCATTAAACACACATTTTCCTAATACAGTAATACTTGCACGTTTAGTGGCTTTTTTTTCGGGGGTCCTATTTTTATATTTAGATTTAGCAGTTGTATGCAGCGCCTAGACGCCTCCACCCCACCACCGTTTTCTTGATTTCCTGATCACAGTAGTATTACTATTAGCGTAAATACTACTGTGTGGATTATTAATCCGGCATAGTCTAGCACTAGAATCCTTCTATAAATAGTGAACAAAAGTTGCTCGCCTTTTCCATCCAGTCCTGAAATCTTCTTCAATCTTCTAATCGTCTACTGATAATTCTGCGATGGCCACCGAGCTCTCAAACATTCTGCCTCGTGTCCTCATCGTATCCAGGCGTACGGTTCGCAAGAACAAGTTCGTCGACTTCGTAGGTACGATATTAATCGTATGTTTATGTTTTTGATCCCTCACATAACATGCATGCATCTCATTGGATTAGGGCCCTTTCGCCGAACTTAATTTCAATCCGATCCAACAGCAGGGAAAACTGGACTATGTCTTCATTTATGCATCTATAGATTCTTTACATTCAGTGCTAATTTGGGTGAGAAATATCTTCAGGTACTAATTTGTATGTATTTGCATCTGATCAATTTCAGGAGAGTACCATCTCGATCTTATAGTAAGCTATGGGGCTGTACCGGTGATTTTACCCCGGGTGACGGGGGTGCACATGCTGTTAGAGAGTTTTGAGCCGATTCATGGAGTTCTTCTCTGTGAGGGGGAAGATATTGATCCATCACTGTATGAAGAAGAAGCATCAGGTTTAACGCCAGAAGAATTGGACGAAATCCGGAGGGTGCACGCCAGCGATACTTCCGTAGACAAAGAAAAAGACAACATAGAAATGAGGCTAGCCAAACTTTGCCTGGAGAGGAACATTCCTTACTTGGGAATATGCAGGGGTTCACAAGTCCTGAATGTTGCATGTGGGGGTACCCTTTATTTAGATGTGGGGAAAGAATTAACTAATAAGGTTCCTGAAGATCTGAGGGTAATGCACATGGATTATGATAATTATGATGGGCACAGACATGCTGTGAAGGTTGTGGAGAATACTCCTTTGAGTCGTTGGTTTAAGGACTCTTTGGAGGAAGGGAAAATGGAGCTCTGGGTGAATAGTTATCATCACCAGGGAGTTAAGAGGTTAGCTGAGCGTTTTGTTCCAATGGCATTTGCTCCTGATGGTTTGATTGAAGGGTTTTATGATCCTGATGCTTATAATCCTGAGGAGGGTAAATTCATAATGGGGCTCCAATTTCATCCCGAGAGAATGAGGCAACCTGATTCGGATGAATTCAATTATCCTGGATGCCCTTTTGCTTATCAGGTGAGATGTTTGGGAACTCTCTGTATTTACATGTGCAAATTGTACAAGTCCAGCGCTGTACTGCTTTTTTCCGCCTATGTACTTCATGCTAAAGTTTTGTTCTTTTTTGCTGGAACTGCATAGGAGTTTGTGAAGGCAGTTGTTGCTTATCAGAAGAAGCTCAATAGTGCAACAAATGTACCGAGACCTGTAAAGCTTGATCAAGAAATGGAGAAGAAAAGAAAATCCATCGTTAGAAGCTTCTCAATTGCAAGAATAATATATAAAGGGGGACGTGATATGCATCTATCAAAAGAATCTGAACTTGAAGTCGGAGCAGAATTCCTTGAGGTGTGGTTTCTAATCTCTTTTAAGTTTAGTATTAAATGGCTAAGCTCTGTGCCTCTATTGTTTGAAACTTACTGTACTCTTTTGTCCTGCTATGTTTTGTTCGCTTACAGTCGAACACAGCTTTGACTTTGGAGCAGGAGAGTAGATTGAAACAAATGGGGGCAACCGTGAGGAACTCATCTTCCTTCTTAGCTAGATTAAGGTTAAACGAAGAAAGAGAGGCATTAGCAAGGAAAGTGATGGGAAACATGTCGGTAGAACAGTTATCTGATCTAATGTCCTTCTACCACATGATGGGGCAGATATGTTCAGAAGTCTTGGAGAAAAAACTTCATGGCATGGTCAATGATCTTGCCTCTTAAACTTATCTGCACGCCTTTTCATTTGGTTGGGTGATAATTTGCTCCATTGTCAACCTTTTCATGTACCTGTCTCTGTTAAAGAATCACGAGAAATTTGCTCAGTGAGCATTAATGCTGTGTAATTAAGATTTGCAGGTTTGTGCCTATGCTTTTTGTTAGCCATCTTTTTTGCCCTTCACTTTCTTGCTTGACCTTTTTCTTCTTCCACCGAGAAAAGGATGATCCTTCCTGGTTCCAACTTCCAAGCTCTATAGTTTGAGGTTTCTAAAGATATTTTTGTGAATCACAGCGACTGCTCCGTAATCTAAACAATAGTAGTATGATAAAAGTATACATTCAGTAACTAGGCTGAATCCGGTAATCAAAACTCTGTAATCCAAATAATATTTTAAAGAAGATGCAGTAATCGTGCTGGATCTTGTTATCAGAGCTGAAAATGCAGCCCAATTAGTCTCCGGCAATTTAGTACAATTAGTAACGGGATGGATCTGCAGTCTGAAGTGGCCCAATTTGGATGCACGATCTTGTCTTCGACTCTACTTGTAGATTGCTTACCACATAGGCATGGAAATCATATCAATTCTCATGGATCCACCCCCCTGATTCCAATTTAGGAGTCCAGCAGGTTTTGGCCCAAATTGTTTACAAGACCTTAAATCCTCTTCCCCCAAAACTTTTATTGACCAGAATTATTCAAAGTGTCTGTCTGACAGACACCTTATATAAGGCATTCGTTAAAAAGTATTTTAGATTTTTCGAAACATAAAATGAATTACGAAAAGCATATAAATTCAAGATAATTAATCAGAAAAAGTATATAAATATAAGATAGAGTAATAATTATTAATGTATATATATTCATGGTAAATTAAGTAAAATATAAGTGTGTTAATGAGTATTCACAGAGCACCTGTTAAAAAATTCAAAATATCAGTAGTAACCTCAAAGTCTCCGGTGAAATCTAACCCTCGGGAGTCTGAGATACTAATCTGGCCCTCCCACCGTTTAATTTGTTCGTCCTGCAATTAAGAAGATCATCACCCGGGACTTCGTCGAGATTGTGATCTGTTACCGTTTGACTAGTGTGTCACCTTTTACGGTTGGGCAGCTTCTACCTGTTAAATTAAATCCAACGTCATCGTAAGTGAGGCCGCAGGTAGGTCGGGAGGGTTTTCTTTGAGCATCTCTTAAATTTTGATGAATACAGCTTGTAGTTGGGCGTTAGAAGTATCCGTCGTTTGTCACCCCTTAAAAAGGAAACATCAGAGTACGGCTACTCATAGGTGGGAACAGACCAAACGCAGATATCAAATTGCCCTTAACTTTGGTTATTGTAAATAGGGCTGAAAACTAATTGATCGCGAGCGGCTCCGATACGAGGGCCACTCGAGCTCGGTCAACATCGAACTCAACTCGAGTTCGATGTTGATTAAATCGAACTCGAGTTCGAACTCCAATTCAAAAATACTAAGAACTCGATTATATATATATTTATTTATTTATTTTAATAGTAAATTTGCATATATATTTCTAATATTTTATTATTTATTAAAAAAATAATTATTTTATTTATTTTTTAAAAATAAAATAATTATTTTTTTAAGCTCGAGCTTGACTAGAATTTGAGTCGAACTCTAGCTCGAGTTTGACATTTTGAGTTTGTCGAGTTCGAACATCATAAAATTATGTCGAGACTCGATTGAATTAGTTCGAATCTCGACTTGGTTCGGCTCATTTAGACCCCTCATTGTAAACCTTTAATAACTTTCAATTCTTGTGATAAGAAAGCTTAGAGGCCGTTCGCATTTTAGAGTTTTTGTTGAAAGTTTTTTAGAATATTTTTATGATACATTTTTAGACTGTATATTTATTATACAATCATCACATCCTTATAATACTTTTTTTTTTTTTTTAAAGGAGGTTTTTAATTTAAGATTCACTGCTTATAATCCCTTTCTCCGGTCATAATTGTACCTCACTAGTGATACAGTCACATAGCAATAACACATGGTTTTATTGAACCATAACATGAAAACCAGTGGCGGATTTAAGATGGGGCACTGGGGGCCCCCAAAAAATTTCTATAATATCTATACAATTTTGATATAATTTTAAGTGTATTCCCGGAGTTTTCTTAGAAATGATGTAAAAGAATTACGTGATTCTTTAAGTTAGTTCATAACAGTGACGGATTTAAGGTCACTGCCCCCCTTAAATTCCTATAGTATCCACAGAATTTTGATATAATTTTAAATACGCTCCCGGAGTTTTCTTAGGATGGAAGCGAAAGAATTATGTGATCTTTTAAATTCGTTTATGAACTAATATTCTAAAAAGGTATGCAAGTTACAAAGTTCCATTTGAAGTAAATTAAAATAAACTTTTCATTTCAACTTATCGGTGAATATTTTTTTACTTAAAAAACTAGAAAAATAATAGGTAAAAAATTTTAGTGTTGCTTTTGCTCCACTGAGAATTTTTTCTGGCTCCGCCACTGCATGAAACTCCTTTGACTGGCGCTAAACTACCTTTGAATCTAATCTCAGCAATTTCGATGAGGCATGGAAATTATTCACCTCAGATTGTACAAGAAATTCTAGCCTGTAGGAAAATTTCCTAAGCTTTTGAGGTGTATACAGGAGACGAACATACACTCTGCTGATTATCCAAAGGTATTCTTTTGTCATAAACCGGGTAGTAATACTTTTACTTTCCCCATGTCCAACGATATTCAGACTGGTATGCGAGAATAATAACCGGAACAAGATCATTTTCCTACTCCTTCAATTTGCTGACAGTCCAAAGGTTGTAAAACACATGCTAGAAAATTTTTTTCCCCTTATTAATTCTTGGACTCTGCCGCTTGATACCTAAATCCATCCAGAACTCTTTAGTCTATATTAATGGTGGAAGGAGGCCTCACAAATCACAAGTCAACAACTTGTCCTGGTCTGATTCCTGTTCAGTGGGGTAATTCTTAAATTTTGGCCGCCAAAGTTCGTTCGATATTTATTGTCCAATTATCAACTCCTCTTTACATTCCCTTCCTCACTCTTGCGCTCTACTCTTGCTCTACTATGAAGAGCCAGTTCCTCCCGGAGACACCCTTTCTATCTGTGTACAACATCTTACTACTGATTCTCTTCATTCAGTTCCCTTCCATTTTAGGCAACAACACCGAATGGTACACCAGCTGCACCAATTTGTTCAGTTGCGGGGGAATCAGCGGCGTTGATTACCCTTTCTGGGGTGGCAACAGGCCTCAAGAATGCGGTCATCCTGGACTAGAGCTCATGTGCGAGGATAGCACTCCAACCATCGAGATTATGAACGTGAAATATCGAGTTCTTCAAGTCAATCCCAGTTCTCAAATCCTCAGAATCACCAGAAATGAATTTGCAATCAAGGATATCTGTCCAGAGAAATTGGTGAACACCACCCTCGATGCCAATCTTTTCGAGTATGCTTCGGGATACGTCAATCTTACGATCCAATACGGCTGCCCCTCTCTGAATATTCCCGTCCCGGCTCCAATAGCCTGTAATATCAACGGAATCACTTACCGGAACGTTTACGTCGTTCCGGGGGCACAAGGGCCTGGAACTTGTCGGGCGAGCATATTTTTTCCAATTCATAGCACAGCTTTTGGAGGAATTACTGAAGAGTTGTCAATTCTGGGGCAAGTAATGGTCAGCGGATTTGAAGTGCGATGGAAAGTGGATAGTATGCAATGCAATGAGTGCAGGAATTCGAATGGCAGGTGCGGCTATGACCTCAAATCCAATCAATTTACTTGCCTATGTCCCGGAAATCAGGCCTCTGGTCACTATGGATGCACAAGCACATCAAGTGATGAAAATGGTAGCCCGCACGAGTCCATGGTTGTTTCAGGTACGCATTGGTTTACATGTTAATTATGACTATGAATCAAAAAGTAAATTATATGCCATGATCAGTCCATTTAACTAGAAGATAGTTTTGAAAGTTTCGGATTTAAAAGGGTACGGTTGCCAAACAAAGAAAGTCTCAACTGGACTCATATGCGCAAGGACGTCGGGTTCTGTTTTTCTAGATTTTGATCATATTTCTACAGAGGAACCAGAATCATTGCTGAATTTAATTCTATCGTATCTCTCCCCGTTTCTTGATGCTTCGTGTTGGTTCCCTATACATGTCACTAGATTTTGAAAAATTTATACAGTAGTATGTGTTTTGATTTGTCTGTTTGTGTACTAAAACAGACGATGGTATTTCTTTTTCTTTTTCTTTTTCTGAAGAGTTGGGGTTTAGTTGGTAGGTAGGAGAAGGGCTGTTTGAGCCGTGGCGAAATAAATTCGAGTTTTAAGGTCATCGCTTTCATGGCGTAAGAGGAGCAGTCCATTCATAACCAAAAAACTAGCATTGCCTTCCTATGCTACGAGTGGTTCCCGATAGGACCCCAAGAAATGATTGATGACACTCACAGGAACGGAATACCACAAGTTGCTAGGTTGGGCTGAAACCATCTCGATCCTGACTTAGTATTTTTAAAAGTTCAACTTTTAGCCAAAATGGATTTTTTTTTAAGTGTAAATTTATGAATCAAAATGGAACTCTATATTCAACAGAACTATTTTTTTCCCCCTTGGCTTATGATTATATATATAAAAAAAAAGGTATTCAAGCAGCTAATGGTCTTGCTTTTAGTTGGTCTGGATTTTATAAAATCCGGTTACAAAAACTTATTATGATCAGAATTAGCAAATGTTACTCCCTAGGTAATTATAAATTTTAACTTTTTTTGTCATTAAAAAAATTTATTATGAAAATATAAAAATAACTAAAAATATTATCATCAAAACTAATTATTCAAAAATCAAAATCCATAATTAGTTAAAATAATCAACCGAAAATAGGCCTAACGTGCTTTGGATGCTAAATGAATGCATTAAAACTATTGGATGGCACACGTCCAAAATAAATTTTAAAGAAAAAAAAAGAAAGAAGAACCATAAGTAGAAGCCCAATAACAAACACTATCGAAAAAGTGTGTGTAAAAAAAAATGTCCAAAACACTAATACCGCACAAATATGCACTCTGTATAAAACTTCAACAACTGATTGGGCCTTGGCCCAATATAACCTAAAAAGTACTCTAGAAAATTATGCATCTCATAAATAAGTTGGGGCGTGTGTCATTTGGGAAGACGCCATATGTGCATTTGCTGGAGTTGGGGATACACGTGTCATAGCAAACTCGCCAAGGTTGGAAGCTGGGACCTCTTTCTCGATTAAATGCTGGCAAAAAACTAAGGGAGTCATTTTCATATCGACTAGCTTGGGGAAACTACCTCATATAGATTCCAGAATTGCATTGTAGTAACAAGTGAAAGAAGCAGTTCTGGGATCTGATAAGAGTAGCGTAAATCAATAATCAATGAAACTACTACCACTCTGCCTCCTCTTATTAACTTTTTTTTTTCTCGCAAAAAATCAATCCATTAGTAATCTCACGTACCCGAAAGTTTTTTCTCCTCACACTCACTAACCAATAATAACAATAGTTTAAAAACGATGATTACCAATAAGCTTTTCTGTAAACTTGGAGGGAGGTTTATAATGAACGATCAAAAGTCTCAGGAGAGGTTTCTGTATACTTAACTTTTTATTTAGAGCTATAGCACCTTATTCTCCCGTCCACTGTAGGGTTGAATTCAGATGGTTGTGACGCACTACCAAAATGTCAAAATGTTCAACATCACTTTCTTTCTTTGCACTCATTTCTTCAATATTGAAAATTAGCTACACTGTTCTGTCGACTAATAATGGCATTACTTGATCACCCCCAAAGAATTCCATCATCTTCTCTTAAATTTGCCTCCCCTCCCAACAACTACATCAGTGGCTAGCGATTTCCTTTGCAAAATAAATTTGTTCTCTTCATGATATCTTCTCCTCCAAAATAAATGAAATCCCACAGCCCTTTACAGTCGTTCCCCACTGTTCTCTGTTTTCTCGCCTCTAGTATACTTCTTCAACTTCATCCCCTTTCAAGTAATCCGGCGGAATTTTATGAGACCTGTGGGAATGAATTCAGCTGCGGCAACATCACCGGAATAGGATATCCTTTCCGGGGACACGAAGATCCCGCATACTGTGGCTATCCCGGGCTAGAGCTAAGATGCGATCAGAGGAGTAATGTTACAAGACTCGATATCAAGAACATGACATTTTGGGTCTTGGATATCCATCCAACCAGCCAGATTTTGAGGGTTGCTAGAGAAGACGTGATGGAGAACAACTGTCCTACTGATTTAGTAAACATGACTTTGGATTACACCCTGTTTGATTACTCCGCGAGTTATATAAACGTCACGTTTCTCTATGGCTGCCTAGTCAATTTACCCGATGTTGTTTTCTTATGTGGGAACAATATGTCTGTCTTGCCTGGAGACCTTGGTGCTGGACTGTGCAAGGCCAGTGTGGTATATCCGGCACTTCAAACGGGTAATGGAGGATCCTTTAATTTTACGAGCTTGAATCAAGTCCTCCGGCAAGGGTTCGACATCAGATGGATAGTGGATACTGGTATATGCAATGAGTGCACCAGGTCCGGTGGAAGGTGTGGGTACGGTGGTGGCACAAATCAAAATCAAAATCAAACTACTTGTTTCTGCCCAAATCCGCCCTATGTCCAAGCTGGTGCTTGCTCCTCAAATTCATCACCACCACCTTCACCTTCTAGAGGTACGCAAGCAAGCAAGTAGTAATAGAAGTAGTGGTATTTGCTTTTTAACTGTTTGGTCCTGATTGCCCTGATCATATCTTGATTTGCCGTGATCACGAGAGAAAACCCATCTTCTCCTAATTTGCATGGATGGTTTTTTTCAGTGGAATAGGTTCTTTTTTTTAGGTTATCGTCTCGTCTGCGCTCTTGTCATGGTTTACCAATATTGTTAGGCTTGCCGATACTTTGCCCTTTGGAGTTTTACCAAATAACGTTAGGCATGTTTTCAGATGGTTAGTGTCTGGCTTGCGCGGTGACCATTTCCTTATTAGCCTTATTTGACCTAATCGGAAGCGAAGACTGGACTACCTTTGGCCACGTTATTGACTAATGCAGCAAAATAGAGCTATAGAGCAAGACACAAAAAAGCTTCTTCTAGTAGGCAACTTTTTTGTTGTCTTTTTTCAAATAATGAGCAATCTTAACAGGTTTTCCCCTCCCAGCCGTTTCGATTCCCAATTCCTCAGAAAACATCTTCCATTCCCACCTTGTTTCCTTCTACGATTCAACTTTTTCCGAAGGAAAGGAGTTTTTTTTTTTCTCCAATCCTTCCTGGATTTGCAATGTCTCGACGATTGTCTATTCTTTAATAGACTAAAGTTAGGAAAATAACGTCGCGGAACTCCTGCGTCATTCCTAAGGCCCTTTTTCTGGGATTACATATTTCCCATTGACTTTGATCTTCCAAGAAAAAAGCCAAAAAAAGAAAGAAAGAAAGAAAAAAAGGACACGGTTTCTGCGCGTCTGTTGCAGCCATCACTATTCTAATTGCTGAAGCTGATGTTCTCATTGATATCGTCCAAGGACCGGTAAAAGTCTTGACTTACCAAAACTTGTTGACCGTAACCCAATTGCAAAAATTCCACATTTGTTTGTTTCTTCAAAGATGCCACATCTTTTGTCTAGTTGTTTAGGCTATCAATTAATATTCCGCGGAGTTAACACCACCCTGTGTAACTACAGGTTCTCGGATTAGTTTAGACCGAGTCAGCCACTTTTTCATTCCAACGGAAGCTTCCATTCATTTCAAAAACTTAACCAAAGAAAGACAGGCTCATCTTAGTCAAAAGCCCCAATGGTCAAGTTCCTCAAGCTAAAACGACTTCTATGAAATATCTCTCGTGGTCTATTCCCACCAAATGAACTGGGAGGAACATTTCCAACTCGCAAGCTCTTCCTAGTTCCCTACCCTTCTCTTCTCTCTGTCCAACGATGCATTCCGAGGATCGCCTTCGAACCCTTTCGTTCTTTCTGATGATCACCAGCTTCACTTTACTTCACATCCCGAAATCTTTCAGCCAGGATCAACAACAGTTTGAAACCTGCAGCGAGCCGTTTCGGTGTGGAAATATTGACTTTTCTTATCCATTCTGGGGTGGGGATCGCCTGGAAAGTTGTGGCTATCCAGGTTTCAATCTAAGCTGCCAAGGGAACGTCCCTCGGTTTACAGTTGGCCCCGTTGCATACCGGATCCTCTCCTCTGTAGATACCTCATCTCAAACTGTTACTGTTGCCAGAGACGATCTGTGGGATAGTAATTGTCCTCAGTCTCTCCATAACACCACCTTGAATTTCAACATCTTCAGTTACCCCAGCCAGGTCGATAACATCACTCTGTTCTATAATTGCACCCAGCTTCCTACCAACCTCTTTCAACTGCAATATGAATTTAATTGCACCGTCAATAGTACCGCACCAAATACCAATTTTTTCCAGACAAGTAGTGCACCCTTTTGGAGTGCTTGTGCCGATAACATCAGGGTTCCTATTAATCGCGCCGCATTTCCGAGTCTCTTCAATACTACGGCTATATTAAATCCTACGGATCTTCGAACCGCACTTACTACCGGCTTTCCTTTGCGATATGAAGCAAATAATACAGCCTGCAATAATTGCTCTAACACAGGTGGCCAGTGCGGGTATGACACTCGTTCCAACTCATTTACCTGCTATTCCAACAATAAAAATGGTAAGCCCTCGTCATCCAAATCTTTAGTGTCAGTTAGCTTGTGTAGTGGTCCTGTTTGTTCTTTTAATCTCATTGCTAATTGATCGGTCTTTCTCTTCAGTTTGCTAGGCATCAGACTAGGCTGTTAGGTATAGATCTGTCCTTTTATATGGCATCATGGGTTATATTTCCTGAGAGCTTGGTTAGGTATTCTAGACTTGTTAGTTAGTTTGTGGTATCTTCTTGGCTTCGCTTTCTTTCTCCTGATCTCCTTTATTTTTAACTTGTTACATGGCGTGCTCATCCATCGCATTTGCAGATACTTTTCCATTATTATGACATAAATCTAGAAATATGAAGTTTGCCCATTTGTTGTAGGATTTCTATGCTATGCGTTCTTTTTTTGGTTGTTTCTGGTTCTTTGAATAAAAATGGTTAGTCCTCGTAAACCAAATGGTCCGATCTTGGTTTTTAGCAGATGTTGGGTGGATGAAGTTCAAAAGATAATTTGCTCTTAGATAGGCGTTGTAGCCTTTCTTCTGCGTTTGATCTGAATATTTTCCTATATTCAGATTTCATCGGGAGAAAAGCTTTGGTGTTATTCCTCAATCTCGTGCATTCTTTACATCATCAAAATTCCAGCCAAAAAAAAAAAGAAAAGAAAAGAAAAAAATAGTTCTTGGTAGTTTGCTGCGTTTGATCTGATTTTTTCTAATATAAAAGAGTGCAACTTTTGATAAAATATATTAGCAGTGCAGATAAAAGGAATGTCAAAATGTGTGGGCGATTAATCTTTTAAAAAAATCATTGGACTACTGCTGAGTGCTGACTCTTTTTTTTTTTTCCATAAATCAAAACGGATATCAGTTAGCTATCATTCGTAGGAGTAGAATTTTCTTCGTCGTCTTCCCTCCTCCAATAAACAATTTTTTGACCCGACAAGACCATTCTCATCCATGATTTGCATTAAGAAATAGAGAGAAAGTTGTCCTTTTCTCTTCCCTTTTCTCTTCCCCACAAAACATTCATTGCACTGCTCATGCACCGCGTCGGTCAACCAAAGACAGCTCCTCCCCGCCTTCCACCTTCCGCCTTCCGCCTTCCACCTTCTTGAACCCTTCAATCAACCACTCCAACACAACTCTTGGGTAAAACAAAAGCAGTCTCCCCCCCCCGGCGGCCCCCCAACCACACACACACACACACCAACACCCCGGGGGATCCCTGCACCCTTTTACCAAAATGCCATCTCCTCCCTCCTCTCTCACTTGCATTCCCACTCTCCCAGTTCCCAAATGCCTTTCCCTCTCACTCTCATTCAATCTCTCCTCGTCACACCAATTATCTGCTTCGCCTTCTTTACGTTGTCGTTTTGCGATGGCGTCGCCCCCACTGCCCCCACTTTCATTAACTGCGATAAAACGTTCAACTGCGGCTCCATCACCAACGTCACCTTCCCCTTCACCGGGGGAGACCGCCCCGACCGCTGTGGACTCCCCGAGTTCAGACTCACCTGCCAGCAGCCCAACAATGTCGCCGAGTTGACTCACAGCTCCGTCACTTACCGAGTCCTCCAACTCGATCAGACCCTCAAAAGATTGACCCTTTCCCGCTCGGACCTCCACAACAACACCTGCCCATCCCATTTCACCAATTCCACCCTCCACCCTCAATTTGACCTTCTTCTCCTTCGGCGACCAGGACGACGATGCTTTGAGTATAATCTACGGGTGCAATTCCTCGGCTATGTCTATTAAGCCCCAGAATTTATTCAGTTGTAGTATTCCCGGAGTGAACTTTACGGATGCTTATTACATAGTCGGGCCGATTCCCAGTGATCCCATTTTGAGATCCATTAATTGCAGCGTCAGTGTTACGGTGCCAATACTGAGGTGTGCTGGGGCGAGGCTCACGAGTAGTGAGATAAGTCTTTCTGAGGCTTTAATGCAGGGTTTTAGCGTAAATTATAGCGACCCGTATGAGAACAATTGCTCCGACTGTACCCGGGTCGGTGGGCAATGCGGGTTTGATTCGGATTTGGGTCAGCCCGTCTGCGTTTGTGGGGATAGGTTCTGTGCATTGGCACCTCCCCCTCTTTCGGAAGATAGTAAAAATGCTTCTGCAGCATTACAGGTAGTAGTTTTGGTAAATTATTTGACTGCCTGGTTCCAAGACTCGGTTTTTGAATCTGTAGAAATTTATAAATGGTAAGCTTATTAGCGTTGGCTGACACTTGAATTTTGGATGTCATTATTTTGATTTGTTTATGTTGATCTTGAATGATTTATGATGCTTGAAAGTGCTTGCATTAGTTCGTACGTGTCATGAGAAAATTGTGCTGATGGTTTCACTAATCCCTGATTGTTGATGGTTTTATGATCATCCGCTACAACCATCCCCTTACGTTTATCATGTGGTTATCCATTTTATAGCATCTGCACATATTAGTGCTCTGCTACTGTGCGTGAACTTTCTCTTGTTCATATGTCTCCTATAAGACTGGTTTATCACTTAGCATCCATCATTATTATGTGGTTTTGTCAATCATATGTCTCAGTGCTAATGTTTCTTGGTGTTTTGATTCTTGTAGGCAGTAAAAGTGGTCCCGGCACTCCAGTAGGTACTGCCTCATTCTAACTATAACAAACTCAAGTTATGCATCTGTGGTTATTGTCTCAGAGCAAAATCTTAACATTCTTGTTGTGTTCTCAGTTCTTGCTATAGTAGGTGCAGTCCTTGCTGGTGTGGGTCTTGGTTGGTTAATTTTCTGGTGTAGGCAACGGAGGAGACGGCTTGCTGCTGCTAAAGCTGCAGAGAGTTACCAGACTCAGAGCAAGGATAATTCAACCACTGCTGCTAGCAAAGCCCCTACTTCTGTGCCTTCAACTGCTTTCACGAAAAGCATCCCTTCTTATCCTTCCTCAAAAACTGAATTTGGAAAAGAAAGCTCCTATTTTGGTGTCCAGGTCTTTAGCTACAGCGAACTTGAGGAAGCCACAGATGGTTTTTCTCAATCTAGAGAACTTGGAGATGGTGGCTTTGGCGCTGTATATTATGGTATGAATGCAAAACCTCATTCTTCATTTTTAATGAGCTAATAGCAACAACCAAAGCATTGACTCCAGGGAATTTGTTTTTTGAACTTGAATTAGGTGTTCTTACTGACGGTCGCGTTGTTGCAGTCAAGCGGTTATATGAAAATAATTTTAAGCGTGTTGAGCAGTTTATTAATGAAGTTGAGATCTTGACCCGTTTACGGCATCCAAACCTTGTGACACTATTTGGATGCACATCCAAAAGAAGCCGTGAGCTGTTGCTCGTGTATGAATATATACCAAATGGAACTGTGGCCGATCATCTACATGGGAAACGTGCCAGTTCTGGTTTGCTATCTTGGCCTGTCCGACTGAACATAGCCATTGAGACAGCTGATGCATTGGCTTATCTTCATAAATCAGATATCATACATCGTGATGTCAAAACCAACAACATCCTTCTAGACAATGACTTCCATGTAAAAGTCGCCGATTTTGGGTTATCAAGGTTGTTTCCCAACGATGTTACGCATGTATCTACAGCTCCGCAGGGGACACCCGGATACGTTGATCCTGAGTATTATCAATGCTACCAGCTCACTGAAAAGAGTGATGTTTACAGCTTTGGGGTGGTATTGATTGAACTAATTTCATCGCTGCAAGCTGTTGATACTAACAGGCACCGTCATGATATAAATTTGGCAAATATGGCCGTCAACAAAATCCAAAACCATACATTACATGAATTGGTAGATTCAAGTCTGGAGTTTGGGACAAATAGCCCTATGAGGAGGATGACAACATTAGTGGCTGAGCTAGCTTTTCGGTGTCTGCAGCAGGAGAGAGATATGAGGCCTTCAATGCAAGAAGTAGTGGATGCTCTTCGAGGAATTCAGAATGAAGGGTTGAATACTGCAAAGGTGGAGGTGGTGCATATCTTGGTTGATGACGTCGCGCCGCTCAAGGATAATGTTGTCCCTACATCGCCTGATTCAGTTGTTCCTGATAAGTGGCTTAGCAGCTCGACACCAAATTCAAGCGGGTGACGTTTCTGACTGGCTATGCTTTTTCTCTTGTAAAAAAAGATTGTACTAGAACAAAGTTCTTTGTTTCTCAATCGGTAACATTTAGAGATCTTTGCTGTTTCCTCATAGCACTACATTTTTGAAAATTTATTGGCCTTTGCTGTTTCCTCATAGCACTACACAGGAAATGTATCTACTTATTCTGTAATAGAAAACATAAGCAAGTGATTATATCAATTATTGTGGAGTTAGAGGGAATGTACATATTGTTGAATGGAGCTTCCAATACTTGCAACCAAAGTTGAGTACAAGGCAAATCTCCGGGTAGAATATACCAATATGTCTCCCAGAAAACGTAACAAGGAAAATGCCATGTTTACACAGAAATCCGATTGAAGAATTCTTAACCTGTAAAAGTTTTGTTTTGAGTAGTCTGTGCAGCATTGATGGTCCAAACAATTAGCATTGATGGTCCTCCATTGAATTTAATGCAATTGGGATTACTAAGCAAGAATGCACATAACAAAATGATGTTCTCGACCGTTTTTTTTTTTTTTTAAGAATAGCTACCCATGATGTGCAACCTCTGGGGCTATTTTTTGCTTATTTGGTGAAAATTATCCTCTGATCACCACGCAACTTGACCTTAAGGGCTTAAGCCACAATCAAATTCAAGTAGTGGATGCTCCACGAGGAACTGAGAATGAAGGGTTTAATACTGAAAAATTGGAGGTGACTGGCGGACAACTGGACATGGTGGGTTGCAAGTAGGTAGCATTTCTATTTGGGTACACTTACTTTTTATTGCCAAAAAAAAAAATTTCATAGTTGAACAATTTCGTAGTGGGTTGACAGGGAAAATTGAATATATGCTTTTGGGATCCAACGGGGCTCTCTCTGTCCTAATAACAGGTCGTTTTCTGGGGCTTTCTTTGTACTAATAACACCTTCTTTTTTTTTTTTTTCTATGATAACAATCCTATAACTTATGCTACGTTAAACAGAAGAGCATATATAAAAGACTAACAAGTACATAGAGTCGACTAAAATAAAAGATATTTTGGCATTATTTTTAATTTTCTTTTCACTGTAAGTATTGTGCGAATATCCAACCTATCCTCTACAGAGGGATTTAATCACTTTCTGATAGCCACTGAATTAAAGCTCAGTGGTTAATGACAGGCCATTTGGTTTCCCTCCACCGTCCTTTTCTATTGCAAAAGGTCACAAAAGCGTAAGAAGCTAAAGGTTTTGCTACTATACTGTACTGTCGTGCTCGGAATTGTGGTGTTTTTATGAGCAATCACGAAGTGATCAAAATTTTATTCAACTTGTTCGCCAGTGAAATCAGCAGGTAAAGTTAAATGGAAATAACAGTATTGGACAAAATTTCACTACAAATTGGAAAATGGTGAATATTCAAATACCAAGGTATTACGTAAAGTATGTACCATGGTGTTGGAACAGCAGTAGTTTTGACAGGCGTCAGAGTTGGCGGTGTACGACCGTACAGCCTTTGCGGGAATGCTTTACTGAAGTTGCAAGTAGAGGATTACTTTATCCAGCAAGATTTGCCAGGCCACCAAGTGATTATGTCCATAAAACTCCAAAATTAAGGGTCAGGAAGAGGTCACCAAAGAATAAATAAAACTAATATTTAACTGAGATCGGTTATACATATCAAATGGACATAAGCATATTCCATAACCAAACTTATAAAGGAGATCTCACAACCTCCTCAACTCTACTCTTGTATGTGTGTAAGGATTTCCGTTTATATATATGTTTGATCTTAAGATCTGTTTAACGGGTACCCACTCGTTAAAATATATTTCAGATGTCATATTTTTAAAAATTTAAGGTTAATTAGAGAAAGTGAATAAATATAAGTGAAAGTATGTAAGATTAAACAAAAAATATATATAAATGTAAGGAATGAGAATACTTATTAACATGTGTATATAATACTAAGTTATGTGAATTATAAAAGCGTTAACGAATGTCCAATGAGCACCAGTTAAATTTTTAAAACCCTTTATCTTATTACAGTCAATACGAGTTTTAAAAACATGTCCAAAGAATTGAATTTTCACATTATTATGTGCGGTCAATCAAGATTGTAGTACTAAATCATATGATCTCCTGATATATGATCCAGAGGTGCACGTCAAACACACAACATACGGCTAATATTTTTCAATTAATTCTACAAGCACCTAAAAGTATTAATTATTATTTGAAAACGACAATCTCATAATTAAAGATCCAATATCCACTGACAGACTGGGTAAGGTATGCATCATTAAACTCATGAAATACCTTGAGAGTGCTTCATTTCTAATAATGTCTCGTATGACCACGAAATCTAGACAAGCAATTATGCACATTTTAAAACTCAAAACCCCAATAGCATTTTATCAACTCGACCTGCTAAAAGTCACAGATTGATACCATACATTTTAATTCTCAAAAGAGCAATTATATATAAATAAAAAAAAAAAAGAAACCAAGGATATTGGCCCTCAACAATCAGAACCTTGATCAGTGGGTCCACCTTCATCCCTTACCTTACCGTCACCGTAAAATGCAATCCTTGTTTGGATTGGATGTCCACATTGTAGAAACACAGATATAGCCGGCACAATATAATACTGTACACTTTGTAGCAGTGTGGATTATCTTGCAATTTTACGAACATAGACAAACAGAGCATGAAAGAACTAGGATTCCTGTTTAGCTCAATACACTCTTTGTTATTGCTAATTTATGTATTAAAGTTGGCTGAGGATAGGAGTTAGATAAGTCGAAATCTCGTCATTGGATGACTTTAGTGCAATTATACTTTGATAAAATTATGGTGCAAAATTTACCATTTCTCGATGATCAACGAGCAACTATAATAGATTAAACGGAACTAAACATAACCTCTGCAATTAGTGATGATATCAAATATAAGTTAGCAATTATGAGGGATTGAAAACCCTAATTTGAGGTATAGGTCGAAGTTTAAATTTTGCATTTTGGAGTTAAAAAAAATTGAGTGTGTATAAATACACCATCTAGTCTAGATAATCCTTTAACTCAAAACCCAGTTGGGTTTCCCTTTTCAAAAAAAAAATATAGAGTCCGTTGGGATTACTATTTTCTGAATTTTTTTTGTAGAAAAATATATTATAATAATTTGATATATATGAAATAAAAAGATGAATAGAAAATATATTTATAAAAATGTGAATTTTTTTTTTGGAGAAAACCAACAATCCAAACAAGGCCTTTGTGTGCTGTTAGTAAAATTTAAAAAAAAAAGAAGAAAAAGAAAACAGGGCTTTGCTCCACCAATTTCTTCACTTTGCTATAAAATAAACAGTTTGTGCCCATAGAGCACTCGTTAAATATATATTTTAGATGTTATATATTTGAAAATATGAGCAAATAAATGAATACAAGAAGAGTAAGTAAAATTAAATAAGAAAAATATATAAATGTAAGAGAAAATAATAATTATTAATACGCATATATATATATGGTAATCAAAAATCCTAAAATGAAAAAGAATAAAATAAAAATACATACAGTGTGGGACCCACAGAAGGACCAGTTAGAAGCACCGCTGATTGCCACGTGTAACAAATAATGCCTTGGTATCGATGGGAATGGGGAAAGTGCCGATACAGAACCAAACAAACGAGTCCGATCCTTATATTATACTATACTGTCTTAGAGCCGTCCGTATACCCCAAATTTTCAATCCCCTTCTCTGTTCGTTATTTCTACTACTAAAATCGTACTGCTACTTTGTATATATTTCTGTTCACTCACTCAAATTCACTTTGACAAGTTTTGAAAAAGGCAGCATCCTCTCTACGTTCCAAATTTCCATGGCCACCCTTTATTCTTTCACCAAAAACAAGTCCAGATCTCACTTCTTCTCCCTAATCTCCCGCTTAATTTACTCTTAAAACTACAATTTATTTCTCAAACCCATTTTCATTTCTTGACAATTTAGAATTTTACGCCCATCAATTGTTTATTATGGCGACGTTGCAGAAATTTAAGCTATTAGCCACGCAGTGTGCGGTCGCCGGGAGTCCGACGAGAAGCCCATCAGCGAGCCCAGTTATACACCTCCGCCGGAGGAAGACGCTGAGGATGTTGCTCAGCCGCGGGGGAAGTGGTAGCAGGAGGATTCCGCGCCGGGAAGAGGGTTCTCCGGATCGGAGGGGGTGCGAGAGGAACTCGCCGGAGAAAGGGAAGGAGTTGATGGTGAGTCATAAGCTGAGGGACTTGTTCGTTTCGTCGCCGCCGACGTTTGACGAGAGGGTGGCGGAGAATGTTAGAGAAGGGTTGTTGTCCGGTGGGGTTAGTAGCGGCGTCGGCGGCGGCGTCGGTGGTGCGAGTGGCGGGTTTGGATTGAGGAGAGGTGGCGGGGGCCGACAGCTTAGACCGTTATCAGCGACGTTTCGGCAACGGTTGCTTAGGAGGGCATGGAGACCTGTGCTGGTTACCATACCCGAGTAATTTTATAAAAATTGTACCCAAAAATCTGAGAAAAATTAAACTATATATTATACTACCTCTTATTTAAATTTGATTTAAAAGTTTTAGCTTCACCATTATTCCATTATTTGTTTCTAATTTAGTTTCTATTTTTCAGATGATATTTTATTTCCCTACTGACGTTTAGGAATAGGGCGGCCTTTAGGTTCATCTCCATCAGATATTAATCTAAATTAATAACTTCAAAATTGCTTTTAATTTTTTTGTTTTCTTTTTGGGCTTTTGGATAGATTTGTGGGAGTGTGGGAGTTGGGAGTCAGAATGAGTTTAGCAATCTGTTTGCTACTTTGATTCTGCCAAGTCAAATTATTGTCCGTTCTGAGGCATGAATTGACTGGTTTGTTGGACCTCTTGTATTCCATTGTCAAAAGACAGCAATAGTTAGAGAGAGACTTGGCAGGGGCACCATCTCAGCCATGGATGAGTTATTTTTAAGGGGGAAAAAAAGCAATTTTCATTTTTCTTCCACCAAATTGAATGAAGAGAGGGTTAATTTTGAAAAAAAAAAAAAAAGTAGAAATGAAGAGAACAGGGGACAAAAAGGACAATATCCACATTGCTGCATGTTATTCCATTTACACGTGCCTGAATTTTGTACCCAATGAGCTTTATGAAAAATAATAATAATAATTGGGAACATTAGAGTTGATTTTTTTTTTGGGGGGTTAATGTATGTTGAAACTAAATACGAAAAAGGAGATATATAGGAGAGGTTTTAACAGCAAGCTGAGCGTCAATTGCTGGTATATTTGTGTCATCATTATTTGGTTAAATGATGAGCATATACGGACATGAATTTGTGTATTGATAGTTACTCAAAAGAACAACATTGAAAAAGAAATGTCAAGAAAAGGGAAAGGGGCCATTGGAAATGTCAGCAAGTGGAAGAAAATGTGCCATTAGACTAGAAAGTGGAATTGAATTGCGTTATCTCACCGAGGTTAAGGCAAATCAGGAAGGGCAAAGCTCGAAAATTTTTGCCATTAGTTTGCTTGTCATCTGAACATTAATCTATCCTGAATTTACCTAGGAAAATATATAATTCTAGGATTTTCAACTTTAACTCATGTCTTCTATGACTTTCGAATTCTGTATTTGACAGTTATCTTCAAGGAACCACTGAGATGAGATTGGTTCGCTCAATGGCGAGAAAAGAGAGCTGTTAAAATCTTTTCTGTATTTGACAGTTGAAAGTAAAAAGATATTAAGAAATTTAAAAAAGAGAAGAAAAGACAGTTATCTTCAAAGTTGTTGATTAAGATACTTTGACGGCAATCTCGGCACCGTAACACAAGAAATCAAGAGTTGGTAGTTGGTACTGAAACACAAGAAATAACGAAAAAGATTTTGTTTCAGCATCTTAGAAAAATTTACTAGAATTTATAGCGAGCGTCATCCTTTGGTAATTAATTGGTAAACCGCTGCACATGGGGACATGGCTGTGTGCCATGTAGTAGAGTCGCATGATTCCACGGGCACTGTCCCAAAACTCAACCGTCCAATTGTCTCAAATCGACCGTCACGACTGAGCTTTAGCACATATTTATGCTACGTCATTTTGCAAACTAAAAAACCAACAAACGATGAGTCATACATTGACCTTCAAGGCAAGAGTTGCATTTTTTTTTTATTTACTCCAAATTAAATTGCATCTGTTTTTGAAGGTGGGGTAGAATCTTTTATAAAGAGTGTCACAGATCAGGACGACAGGCCAAATGAAAAGCTACTAGAATGGTGATTAACAATTTAATTTCAAGATCTGTCTCATTTCTGCCCCTCTTTATTTCATCTTTGACAAAAACTCCATAACCATTATGCACTTTTGACGAAGGTAAAGTGGGGTTCTTAGCCGTACTTTTGCTCGTGGTCCTCCTGGTTTCTAAATTTTGTGGGTCCAATTCAATTGCTGGATTTAGAACTTATAAAGTCAATCAGCAACCTTGTAAATTTTCAATGGAGACAATCCTATCAGTTGGGTTCTGTGCATTCAATCTTGAGATTAATGAACAAATGTGTGAAGATTGACTGACTGGGATTGTCGCCTAGATGGTCCCTCTATAGAACACGAGATCAGATTTATTTTATAGCGGACCTTCCAGCCTAACGGGTATCGACCAGTTGTGTAGTTTCTTGAGACAAAAACGAAAATTTTGGGGCCTGGAGAAGACCTCGATCATCGCGGCACTGTAATTCATAGGCAGGAAAATTAGCCCGCTGTAACTTCCACGATGGTCTATGAGATTTTTCATTGAAGCATCAGGCGTGATTGGTATTCTGGCTAGATCCCAACCTCACCCACCGTTTAGTCATGCAAAAGGAGAATTTTCATGGGACCTCTGCTTTTCTTTTTTTTTTTTTTTTTTTGGTTTGGAAAGCAGAAAAACAGCAGGTAATGTGGAGCCTGGGCCAGGAATATTGTTGAGCCTGGGGAAATTCATGACTAACTTTAAAAGTGTGGAAGTAGAATCAGTCATTCTTATTCCCTCCTTTGGCACAGAGGACAAGGCAGTGTATGCATGGAAGAAGGAAAGTATAATTGGAGTTTGTGCTCCAATAATTGAGAGTGAATTGAACAAGGTACATTATGAGAATCATCATATAATATGTAATATCCAATGCATATCTTTCTCTTACTTTTGGTTGCTCATTTTTCTGTCACCTGGGAATGGATAACTTATCAAGAAAGACAGACAGGATAATAATGGATAAGCTGCGACGCTTCGCTACATTTGCCTAAAGCAGATTAATATTCTACGATGCTAATCAATTCCCAGTGAAAAAAGAAGGGTGTTCACCAAACAAGAGAAAGATGGACAATACGGGAGCAATGGACTTCATGATTAAGAGGCAAAGAATCAACAATTGCAAGGAGGGTGCAGATATTTCTTCACAGATATATCTGTTCTTGTATCGATGCCTGAATTTTGTATAACTGGGAGCGCACAAATCTTTTCCCTCTAAGAAACAATGGTTGATTTGTGAATATTTCCGTCGAGGTTTCTTTTTATGCTCCCTATGATCTCTTCACATGCTGAAATGCTCTGCTTTGGCAGCTGACAGGTTTCTACAACTCTTCCCAATTCATCAATGATGAATTTCCCTTCCATCGCCAAGACTCTACATGAAGGTTGTCATGCTCATAAACATCTCCGTTTTCTCATATGAACTTGAAACAAATGCAGTTCATTGCCAATATTGAATTGAGATTTGAAAGTGAGGTGAATGTGTAATATTAGCCTAAATCAAGAGAAAAGCGAACTCGATTACCCGTTTAGTTTGCAAGCAATCTGGGACTCTACAAAGTTGCAAGTGCTTCGAAGGCTCAGGCTTTCGCAGAGCCAGCAATGCTTCTGCAGATAGTACTTCTGATGATAATTCTCAGCTAGATAGAATTCACCCGAATATGGAATGATCTTTGTTACAATCCGTCTGTTAAGCTTCATCTGCCTTCTGATCTTTGACTGTTGTGCTTCTTTCCTCTCTTGAGCTGTTGCGTGAAATATAGCTGACCTATAATGCGTACCTAATCCAAAATTCTGCAGGCGCATAAAGTTGTCAGCTGAACATGCAAAAAAAATTGTAGTCCACAGACCATTAAAGATGAAAAGAGCCAAGAACTGAAATTTCACGCACCAAAAAGTCCTTATTGGTTGGATCATGAGTTTCCCAGAACATGTCACAGAGAAATCCATACGCGATTTTCCTCTTGTCATACGTTACTTTCACGGCTTCAGTGTGGCCACTTTTTCCTTCACAAACCTGAAAACGGAAAACATACTTCGAAAGGTGTATCTCTATTTTTTTTTTTATGGGTAACTGTGTATCTGTGCTCACCTCTCTGTATGAAGGTTTACGGATCCTTCCACCACAAAAACCTGCAGCAGTTTTGACAACTCCATCAACTCGACCATATGCAGCTTCAAGATCCCAGAATTTATCTGCATATAATCAAATGCCAAATTACCATTTCCACAATAATCAAGAAGAATGATCTCTTCGCTGGTTCACTTGTCACAGTAAAATACACATAAAAAGGGAGGTGAAAGAACCTCCTGCAAACACTGCATCAGAAAGAAACTCCGAGGGGCAAGAAGCTGCTGAAGGGCTCTCAAAAAGATAATCAGGAATTTCTGCTTTAGAATTTGTTTGTGCGAGCAGCTTATACATGCTTTGCCCAATTAACGCCAATTAACAACGACGAAATGCTGGCCTCAATCGCCAATCTTTGGTTGCACAAACTGGCTAGATTACATCGTCCCAGGCCAGATTGTCCACCTTGGACGAATCATGATGCAGATGAAATTGATGGTTCATGCTTATGTGAGATTTATAGTTCAAGTTCAAACATCCACATTCCACGATCCACATTACTCATAAGAAGAGGCCGTGTGAATGCACTTGGACCTTTCTCACGAGCCGTGTGGAAATATATGGAGAAAGGCAGGCGGTTTTACTGTTGGAGGTCAACTATAATTAACTCGCAAGAGATATGCGTTATCCTCCTCGTCGCTTCGCTTCTCTCTCATTTGTTTCTTTCAATTCTTCAGGCGATCCGTAAGAAACATTGTGCGGACTTGGTTCACCATTCTACTCCGCCCATGTAAATAACTTTTACACTTCTTCTTCGTAATTATTTTGAAACGAAACCTAAACCTTATATACTAAACTCTTTAGGGATTTGATTCAGTTATTTTTTATCATTAGATACACATCGAAGAAACCTCATCAGGGGTTCGAATTCAATTACGGTCGAGTAAAATAGATCAATCGAAATCTTTTAATTTTTATTTTGAGCGCCTTTTGGAAGGAGGCAGGAGGTGTTGCTGAATGGAATTTATGGGTCGAGAAAAATGCAAATTAACCGCTACGCAACAACTTCATTCCCAGATGAGATAACCAGTACTAATACACTAAAACTGTTTCATTTCAATGCATTACACTTTCCACGTCAACTACCATTTCCAAAGTCTGATAATGAAAAGTATAAAAGCAAGAAAAAAAGATTAGGCACTCAGCTCCTAGCTCAGTGGCCACCACCAACGACCTTGCCTCCCACCAAGAGTGCGTAGTGCACTCGTTTGGAATCTGGACCGGTAGGTGGTTCAGTTCCATCCAATTTTTTTTTTTGATTTTTTCAAATTCTTCCCTTCTCGTAGCATAGAATAATTGTAGGCCTATCGTATCGATAAAAAAAAGAAAAGAAAAGAAAGATTAGGACAAAGAAAAATGCAAAGGAGAGGACCTATCTTGGCACTGGGCTAGCCAGCATCAGCAATAGCAGGGCAAAGGTTTTGTTGTTGAAAGTGGGGCCCAAAGAAAAACTTTATAAACTAGAAAGAACACCTAAAGTAAATGGAAATTTTGCTCCAAGTATTCTTTCATCTTCACTTGTCGTGGCTGATGAAGTTAGGTCATTGAAACATCAAAAGTGACTGGTCTTCCTTGTGCAGCATCCTCCACCCCACACCCCATAAGCCCTTAATAATGCATGTAACGTAATTGTATGGTATGGTGGTCCATTTCTCTCCAATTGCCTTCCCCATTCTATTATTATTGTCACCCCTTCTTCCTTTGGGTTTTGGCTGGCTGTGTTTCTTCCACTCAACTCATAACCTGACTGACTATACGTGATTACTCCACCACTCCCATTTTTTATTGTATTCATGTATAACTCTCAATATAATTCGCCTTTTTTTTTTCCTTCAGTGGGGTATCCGACTACATTGGCAACCGACAGTCCTCCACTGGACCCTTGCCCCCACCCCACCAAGGAACCAGAGATTGTTAACAAGGTGAGAGTCGACCACGCGACCAAAGGCCCTAAAGAGGACATCCCTCGGCTAGCCGCTCTACACCCGGGGGCTAATTCGCCTTATTTGGATTACCATTTTTTCTTAAAATTTTTTTATATTTTTTGTGTACATATTATTTTTCAATCAACTTTTTATCTCATATACATTAGATTGTTATAACATATTTTTCTATAAAAGTTTCAGAAAAAAGATACTACATTAACCATACATTACAAAAACATTGAATGACTTGCATGGTCTTAATGAGAGTGGGATTGTTAAAATTCACAAATTCAAGTAATGTTCCAATTTTGATGTGTGATAGAGTGATGACAAGGGGTTCGGAGAGAAGAGAAAAATGGGAGATAATTTATAGTAGTTAAGGAAGATGGGAAACGTCAGGAAATTCTTAGGCGTCAATGAGTTTGCATTCATATAAGCGGCCAGCTCTCCTTTGGTGCGTCACGACACTTGTGACAGGACAAGGTGGACTGTTGGAAGCGCATTGATTTCTTAGGAGTTAATGTAGTATCAGGCAAACATTAGTAGCACCAAAATTCAACATCTTTAACGAGAAATTCTTAAAAAAATAATAATAATAATTTCTTCGTATTGTGAAGCTAATCAAAAGCGATTTTGTTGGCTGGGAAGTATATGGCATTCATTAAATTACCTTGATTAAAAATATATTTTAGACAAAAATTTAAAGAGTTGAACCTATGTACACAAAACGGTTATTGCTTCTCTAAGAAATGTTTTTGAGTTTTTGGGTAATGTATTTTGTCGGAAGTAACGTTAATGCACTTTCTCTGTAATATGTACATCTACATGTTGTACTTATATTGTTGTCTCGAAAGTTAATTACTCGAAACTATAACAACAAATGCACAAACAATAACCACTTACCTTATTCTTTTTTCATTGCTATCCATTAATTGCAATCTCAATCTTACATAGTTGAGCAAAAAATTCTTTTTCTCCTAAATCGATATAGGCAGAAATACAACTAAATTACCTTTTCGTATTAGAGTATCATGCAAAAACCCATTTTATTTGCTAAATTCCCAAAATTGTCGAGTGTGTTTGGATTGCTGAATTATTTCAAACAATATTTCACTTGTATCATAAATATATTTTTCAATTACTTTTTTATATTTTCAATCACTTTTTTATCTCGCATACATCACATTACAAAAAGTGTTACAGTAATTATTTCAAATAATATTCTATCAAAACAAACATGTGTTGTTATCCCAACAAAAACGACCAGAAACAGACATAATAACATGGTAGGATGTGATATACACTAATGCAACAACTTTACAATCTGCTCATATTGTTTTTAGTTTGAAGTTTAGCTTAATTCCATTTCCATTGGGCCAACCACACTTGAAAAGAGCACCTTCATATAGTAGTATTTGAGTTGATAGATTCTAGAAAATGTTCATATTAGTAGCCGTAAAATTAATACTGTACTAATGGGGTTGTGGTTAACCTTACTATACTGTAATAAATACTTTAATAAAATCCCAAAAGAAAACAGAAATAAATTTCCATTTATAGCCTCTGCTAACCAATTTGTCAGATCCCATTTTCATTCGTATGTTTCCGTCCACGCCCCGCCGTCAGGCGATAATATCATCCAAACTCAGCCCCTTTTTGCAAAAACTTGAAAGCCTCCAACGTTAAAATTCCAAAAAACGCATCTTCGAAATCTCCTCCTCCACACACATTTTTCCCCAGTTTCCCTTTACACGCACCTCCTATTCCATAATCACGCGCCGCCACCACCAGCAGCCCCTCTCTTCTCTCCAGCGCTGTAGACACGCTTCCTTAAATTAGAAAACCCGAGAAGGAGATCGAAGAAGAAGATAGATTGAGCCCACAAAACGTTGGAAAGAAGCCGAAAAAGTGGCTTTCTTTATGAATTCAGAAGATATAATACTTTTGCCGAGGTTGAGAAATAATGGGTGGGGTGACGTCATCAATCGCGGCTAAGTTTGCTTTTTTCCCACCTAGTCCTCCGTCGTACACGGTGGTGGCGGACAACTCTTGCGGCGGAAAATTGTGCATACCTGAGGTCCCGAGGAGAGACGACGTCGACGTACTGAAGCTTAGGACTCGACGTGGAAATGATATAGTGGCCGTCCATGTGAAGCATCCAAAGGCATCGGCTACTATGCTGTACTCTCATGGTAATGCTGCGGATTTAGGGCAGATGTTTGAGCTCTTCGTCGAATTAAGTCTTCGTCTTCGGGTTAATTTAATGGGGTAAAGCTTTGTTTTTTTTTTTTTTTTTTATTTGTTTACTGGTAGCTCAAGTCGCAGCCTTTAGCTTATTCTTTATTTTTTCTGTTTTGATTTGATTGCAAATACAGTATTTTGTCCTAATTTAGGTGATTTGTGAAAAAAAAATATATAAAGGGTGTTTTGGTTTCCCAATAAATAAGTTAATCTTGTGCAGTTTCTATGGTTTTTATTGGTATTCTGTGAGCTGGGATGCTAAAAGTACGAGTGCTCAAATTTTTCATATTAAACCTTCGGTTTGGTAAAAATGTTTTTTTTTTTTTTTTTTTGGGGGGGGGGGAGGGGAAGATAGTCTTTCTAAGGGGAAATTAAATCTCTGAAAGAACAGATGATGTGGTCATTGGTTGAAGTTGTCTAACTATTTGTCTTAAAAGCCAATAGTGCCACTTCAGGCTGGGAAGCTTCCTATGGAGAACAGTTATGTCCAAACTTCTTTCGTCTACTGTAGATTTTCGGACAACAGCATTGTTTAAGTGTTATGCAAAGACACTACAAACTCTGGAGTTTGGAAGAATAGAATAAGTAGGTAACCGCGTCTGAAGAAACTGCCTGCTAGCTGAGCGATGTAATGGTTAGTAAGAAGCAAGTTGATGTTGCATTCATAGAACTAGATGTTTATGAAATCTTCAAGTGACGAAGTTATATTTGAACAATGAGAGAGCACTTTTTGAATCAGCCAAGATAATAGTTGATTCATTTTGGTAAACCACTTAATTAGGCCCTAATGATTAAAAACAAAAAAGATTGTTATGTATCAATGATTTTTTCTATATTGATGCCTGATGAGCTTCAAAATTTCTTTCCTAATGTACATTTGGCCCAAGTCCTGGTAAAAATTAGTCATCTGGGAAAAGTGCCATCTTGGAAAATTGTTTGTGTTGGTTTTATTTATTTATTTATTTTTTTGGGTTTTTGTAAGCTATGTGCCTCTATTGATTGATCATTGACGCATACACAAGCAGGAGATTCCCCGAGACAAATACATCAGATGTACTCTTCTAATAAAAGTAACTACGCATACAGCAGCTATCACTTGCTAATAATTACAGCACGTTAAGAACAACAAGGGAACGCCTAATGGTAAACAAATCTCTAGGTTCTGTCTCAATCTAGCAATTGGTCTCCAACCCAAGACAATGCTTCTAATCTCTGATGATATGAACATGAATGGCAAAAGGGGAAGGAAGAACATTCTTGAACAGCCTCTAGTTTCTGCATCTCTAAACTGAGTATACTGTTGCAGCAAAAGCAACACACTCCACACAGCAAACAAAATCACTTTTAGCACACTCTATTATCTGCTATTGTAACTCACGAGTCCAACCATCAACAGTTCTAAAGCTCAAGCAGTTGACCTGTACACAAGTCCAAACTGAGTATATTGTGTGGTTTCGAACTGAATAGTATACAAAAAGCAAGTGTTTCTCTTGATTAACATAGAGTGACTTGAAAATGTAGAACTAACTTTTCACTCTCAGGCTTTTATTGTTCACAAAATCTTCATTTTTCGCTTTGCAGAAGGCCAGGTTAATTTGATCTTTCATATTAATTTTGATATTGTCTGATGGGCTAAGGTTTTGCTGTGATGAGCTACCATTTTTCCCTCTTTAGGAAATTCAAATTAGTCATGTCAAACATGCATTTGCTGTTTACTCAATATTGCACCACCTATTTGAGTGCTTCCTGATGGTAGTAGCTCATCATCACCCACTTTGGGATGTGAATTTTTTTATGGAAGAATTACTGAGTGTACTTTTTTTTTCCTTTTCCCTTTTGTTTTCTTCTTTGTCGGTGATATGCTCTTTCATATGTGTATGACTTGGTAAATTATTTACTTGGATTAATTGTTTCGCTTTTGTTCTTGTGCTTCATGTCATGTCAATCATTTGGTGAGCTTAATAGTCACATTACTCCCATGCAGATATGATTACTCTGGCTATGGACAATCCACTGGAAAGGTTAGATATACCCACGCTTCTTCCAATGTGATGGGTTATTCTTTTGCTCCTTAATCACTTGATGGCGTAGTTGTGCACTCCCTGTCCCCATCTGGAAGATTAATTGATTCTGAACTCACATTTTCTAGCCCTTTGATGATTCATACGGAAATTCCTTCTGTTGAGGTTTGACTAAAAGTTTCAAGTGTTCTATATTTCAGAGTGGAGGGCTTATTCAATCTGAAGCTCCCATTCTTCAAGGTGTCATAATTTTTCTCTGGAGATCAAGCTTCACTCCATCCACAGAGAGAGAGAGAGAGAGAGAGAGAGAGAGAGAGAGACCATGTAGACTTGCCTAGTAAAGAAGCATTTTAGTACTTCACTTTGTAAAATCTTGCATTTGTTGTACAATGACTTCACTAAACCCAGTGCATCCTGTGGCCCTAGAATACTCTTTTTTTAATTTTGGCTCAGAAAGTAACACAGTCTTCCTTTTTCCTCTCCTGAAACAGCCCTCTGAGTATAATACATATGCGGATATTGATGCAATATATAAATGCCTGAAGGAGCAATATGGAGTGAAAGATGAACAGTTGATACTGTATGGTCAATCTGTTGGCAGCGGGCCAACTGTTGATCTTGCATCTCGCATACCAAACTTGAGAGGTGTCGTCTTACATAGTCCAATTATGTCAGGGATAAGAGTTTTGTACCCTGTCAAACGGACATACTGGTTTGACATATACAAGGTAACATGATCCTGAGTTAAGCATCCGTAAAGTGACTTACAGTTGATTCAGGACTGCTTATTCACTAACCTTGCTTGTTTCAGAATATTGACAAGATTGGTATGATAAATTGTCCCGTCCTGGTGATTCATGTAAGTTCTCCTTTTCCTTCCCTACTTGGGATCTTCAATCCTCTTTCTGGTACTCGCCCTTTCTTTACTGAACACCCCTCTGCCTATAGTCAAACACTTGTCATTAATCAGCAGTGTTTCGGAAGCACATTTCAATTATGAATCTTGTTTCCATGGTTTAGGGAACAGCAGATGAAGTTGTTGATTGTTCTCATGGAAAGCAGCTTTGGGAGCATTGCAAGCAAAAGTATGAACCCGTATGGATAAATGGTGGTGGCCATTGCAATCTTGAACTTTACCCCGAGTACATAAAACACTTGAAAAAATTTGTATTGGCACTTGGTAAATCAAAGCCTGTGACAAATGGTAGTGAAAAAGTATCAGTTGACAGCAACAATCAGAACAAAGCAACTGAAAGCACTACCAAGGACACATTTGAACTGCGGGCTGACGTTCCAGAGATTTCTAGAAACAGTTTAGACAGTCGACTTGAAAAATCCAAGAAGCCAAACAAGACTGAGAAGTCCCGCATGAGCACAGATCGTGTTGATAGGTTTAGGAGGAAGAAGGGTTTAGTCTGGTGATTTGGCACGAGGACCGTGATGTTGGTTAACTTATTGGCTAATAACATTTGCAAGGAATCATCATATCTTGGTTCTGTATCTTTGGCTGTATTCTAGTGTCAAATAGCATCATTTGCATCTACGGGGGATGCTCTTAGGTGAGGCAGAGAAGAAATAAGAATTTCTGTCGTTTTTTACCTCCTTTTCTGCTTTGTACATTCAACTGTGATTTTGATTTGAGAGCAATATAGTTTCCGTTTCCATTTCCATTTCCATGTACGAGTGAACATGTTTTTGTACATCATTCTGTCTCTTTACTTTTGGCGTTCTGTTATTTTAAGTTCAGTTGCTTCAGTTACAAATCTATACGCTTTGGCTACCAATCCCTAATCCTCTTGCCTTGTGACTAAAACGATCGAGTGGATTTATTGTTTTAAGCAGTTATAGAACCCCCCCCCCCCCCCCCCCCCCCCCCCCCCCAAAAAAAAAAAAAAAACAAAGGGTTACAAAGAAGAGGAGTGCGTAGTCAGACCTGAAAATGATGGCAAAGACCGTTCGACTGGATGACTCTGTTATACTTTCTTCATTTCTTCAATATTTATGTTTAGGCCGGTTGACCAGGATGATGGAATAACAAAGCCAACGAATTGGAAAAAGAGAACAGGGAATCAACAGCGGCCAAGATATTTCGTACAGCCCATCTTGACCTTTCTCAAGAATACAACAACATGGCAAGTCACTACACGAAGCTGGGAGATGGATCAAATTCAACTTATATTTAGTAGAAAAAATTAAAAAAAAAAAGAAGAAATGAGATTAGCGAATGTAGTAGTCCACTGACCAATTATTGACATTTATTGACATTCACGGGAGAATATTTGATTAAATGCATTAGACTGTTTTACCATCAGACTTTGTCAATGTCCAAGCCATTCACCCCACTTGAGCAATGCATCCAAAGTTCAGGGATGGCTTCATTTTCCTTGTGAGAAACCAGTAACAATAATATGTCCTTCTTGTCAAGATAATTTTTGTGAATGTAATTCCGGGATCCACTTCGCTTTTTTCCTGGCTTTTTTTCCTCCGTGTAAATGATGCATCTGAAAGGTTTCCTTCCAACCCTTTCACTCTTGTTTATACTCACAATCTTCACTTTAATTCACATCCCAAGATCTTTCTCCCAGAATCAGCACTGTGTAACCTGTGGGGTGCCCTATCAGTGTGGAAATATTACCTTCACTTGTCCTTTCTGGGGTGAGAATCGCCCAAATTCTTGTGGGCTTCCGGGTAAGTTGCCAAGCTAACATTCCTAGGCTCACGGTTCCACCTGTTTCGCACCGTATCCTCTTCCCTGTGGATACCACCACGAGCACTCTCATTGTTGCCAGAGATGATCTTTGGAGTGATAACTGTCCTCAATTTCTCCATAACACCACCTTCAATTCCAACTTCTTCAATTATCCTAAGAACGTCTATAACTTAACTCTGTCCTAAAATTGCACCACTCCTCCGAACCTAGCAGAGCAGCCACCAAATCAGTTTGCTTGCTTGGTGAGGATGGTCATCCCGGCTCGGTTTTACCGAGACGGTCTTCCCGCCTACAGATGTTTGCGGTGGTCTTATTGGGGCGGCCTTCATCTATTATGGTGAGAAATTTTCCTCATTTGAGCAAGCTATGGAGAAAAGGGACTTGGTCTTCTCTATACAAAGGTGTACCCACACGGCATCCTTCCTACATTCATGACTTTTCGCGTGTGGACTAAATGAGAGTTCATAGCATAACAATAATGCTATTTGGTAGCATAACAATAATGAGAGTTCATAGCATATCATTTCAAAATCGACTAATTTGCTGTGCCCCAAAATTTGAAGTTCAAAGAAGAATGAAGTCTAACAATAAGTCTCGTCATCAATCTCACCCTTTATCTACTGCAGTTATAAGTGGTCTTGACAAAAAAAAGGAATATGTTAAGCAAGAATTCATTGGATTTTCGAAATCCATCAAGAATTAAAGCAGCTCACCAACCAACAAAGTAACTGGTGCTCCTAGGCTTGGCTTTGGCACGGAGTAGTTAGTACTTAGTAATGCACCCTCTGAAAATGCATGCATATCAGCAGCTCCTCCTAGCATTCATCATTCCACAGTCCTGCATCAATATTACGGCATTGATATATGCCGTACACAGATTTCTACACCAGTCAGAAACGAAATTAGTGTAGTGGGGCTAATTCTTTGGGTGAATTTTTACTAGTCAACAATCGAGCATTCCTTAGCGTTTTGGAAGTGCATTTCAGCTATTATTAAACTGTATTCATGGTTTGGGGAACAGCGAGACCTGACGTTCCAGAAGCTGTTTAGATAGTCGACTTGAAAAGTCTAAGAAGCCAAACATGAATGAGAAGTCTTGGGAGAAAAACGTGTTGATAGAGGCTTAGGAGCAAAACGTGTTGATAGAGGCTTAGGAGAAAAACAGGGTTAAGTCCGCTGATTTTCCGTGAGGACCATCGTGTTGGTTAATTTATTCACTTGGTTCTGTGACTTTGGCTGTAGTCAAATAGCATCATTTGGATCTAGTGGGATGCACTTAAGTGAGGCAGCTGAGAGAAAATAAGGATTTGTGCTGTGTAAACTCAACTGTGTCATTTAGTTTTGAAAGCATTTTAGTTTCTCTTTTTACATGTTTCCATGCATATATGAACTTGTTTCCATGTATATTGGGTTCTTCACTTTCCGTTGTTTCAAGTTCGGTTGCTTCACTTTCATTAGCGTAAGCTACCATACTCTGCCTCTGTCTTTGGATATGAATACTTAACCAAACAAAGACAGGCTCATCATCTTAGTCAAAAGCCCCAAAGGTCAAGTTCTTCAAGCTAAAACGGCTTCACTGAAATATCTCTCGTGATCTATTCCCACCAAATGAACTGGGAGCAACATTTCCAACTTGCAAACTCTTCCTAGTTCCTACCCTTCTTTTCTCTCTGTCCAACGATGCATTCCGAGGATCGCCTTCCAACCCTTTCGTTCTTTCTGATGATCACCAGCTTCACTTTACTTCACATCCCGAAATCTTTCAGCCAGGATCAACAACAATTTGAAACCTGCAGTGAGCCGTTTCGGTGTGGAAATATTGACTTTACTTATCCATTCTGGGGTGGGGATCGCCCGGAAAGTTGTGGCTATCCAGGTTTGAATCTAAGCTGCCAAGGGAACGTCCCTCGGTTTACGGTTGGCCCCCTTGCATACCGGATTCTCTCCTCTGTAGATACCTCATCTCAAACTCTTACTGTTGCCAGAGACGATCTGTGGGATAATAATTGTCCTCAGTATTTCCTTAACACCACCTTGAATTTCAACATCTTCAGTTACCCCAACACCGTCGATAACATCATTCTGTTCTATAATTGCACCCAGCTTCCTACCAACCTCTTTCAACTGCAATATGAATTTAATTGCACCGTCAATAGTACCGCACCAAATACCAATTTTTTCCAGACAAGTAGTGCACCCTTTTGGAGTGCTTGTGCCGATAACATCAGGGTTCCTATTAATCGCGCCGCATTTCCGAGTCTCTTCAGTACTACGGCCATATTGAATACTACGGATCTTCGAACCGCATTTACCACCGGCTTTCCTTTGCGATATGAAGCAAATAATACAGCCTGCAATAATTGCTCTAACGCAGGTGGCCAGTGCGGATATAACACTCGTTCCAACTCATTTGCCTGCTATCCCAAAAGTAGAAATGGTACGCCCTCGTCATCCAAATCTTTAGTGTCAATCAGCTTGTGTAGTGGTCCTGTTTGTTCTTTTAATCTCATGGCCAATTGATCGGTCTTTCTCTTCATTTTGCTAGGCATCAGACTAGGCTGTTAGTTATAGATCTGTCCTTTTATATGGCATCAGGGGTTGTTCTCATTATATTATTTCCTGAAAGCTTGGTTCGGTATTCTAGACTTGTTAGTTTGTTGTGGTATCTTCTTGGCTTCGCTTTCTTTCTCCTGATCTCCTTTATTTTTAACTTGTTACATGGCGTACTCATCCATCACATTTGCAGATACATTTCCATTATTTTGACATGAATCGAGAAATATGAAGTTTGCCCATTTGTTGTAGGATTTCTATGCTATGCATTCTTTTTTTGGTTGTTTCTGGTTCTTGGAATAAAAATGGTTAGTCCTCGTAAACGAAATGGTCCGATCTTGGTTTTTAGCAGACGTTGGCTGGATGAAGTTCAAAAGATAATTTGCTCTTAGATAGGCGTTTTGGCCTTTCTTCTGCGTTTGATCTGATTATTTTCCTATATTCAGATTTCATCAGGAGAAAAGCTCTGGTGTTATTCCTCAATCTCGTGCATTCTTTACATCATCATAATTCCAGGCTTCCAGCTAAAAAAGAAAAAAAGAAAAGAAAAAAATAGTTCTTGGTAGTTTGCTGCGTTTGATCTGATTTTTTCTAATAAAAAGTGCAACTTTTGATAAAGTACAGATAAAAGGAATGTCAAAATGTGTGGGCGATTAATCTTTGAAAAAAATCATTGGACTACAGCTGACTCTTTTTTTCGACAAAAAATCAAAACGATATCAGTTAGCTATCATTCGTGGTAGTTCCCTCCTCCAATAAACAATTTTTTGACCCGACAAGACTATTCTCATCCATGATTTGCATTAAGAAATAGAGACAGTTGTCCTTTTCTCTTCCCCACAAGCATTCATTTCACTGCTCATGCACCACGTCGGTCAACCAATGACAGCGCCACCCTTTTACCAAAATGCCATCTCCTGATCTCCTCCCTCCTCTCTCACTTGCATTCCCGCTCTCCAGTTCCCAAATGCCTTTCACTCTCACTCTCATTCAATCTCTCCCAGTGTTTTGAAAACTGGACCGGACCGGCCGGTTGAACCGCGAACCGGCCATTGTACCGGTCCGGTTCTATGCTTGTGTTGACTTTGCCAGAAACCCGGTAAACCGTGTGAACCGTTGAACCGGATTGAACCGGTTTTCGAGTTTTCTTTTTTTTTTTTTTAAACTTTTTGCAAAATGCTTCTAAGATTCGAACTCAAGACTTTTGCAATAGAAGACCAATGTAGTAACCATTGCACCATCACATCTTATTTGGTTCAATTAATAATTTATTTATATAAAACAAACATCTATATTTCATTTTTCCATTTTTCTTACAAAATTTCATCCTCTCATGACTCTTTTTTTTTAATCTTCAACTCTCTCTTTCTCTCTCATCTTTTCTTTTGTCACTTCCTTTTTAATCAAACCTCTTTAGTTTTAATATATTGATGTTTTCTTCTATCTTTTAATTTTGTTTTTATCCATTAAATTGAAAAAGTTAAAAAAGAATTATTTTTCTTTAACCCAAATTAGTTAATGCCACAACCACTCACTTTTATCTCATTTTTTATTTCTTATCAAGTTTGCATTTCTATTTTCGATTCTTCTTGATTTCTTTCGAACTCCAAACTTTCTTTTTTAAATTATAATATTTAAATCTCAAAGACGTAAATTAAAATTTAAGTTCACAATGTCAAATTCTCATAGACGTGAATTTTGTATAATTTCAAAATATTGTGATATTTTTTGGTTGGATTTAAGATTTTTTTGGTAGATATAATTGAAATTAAGATGAAATTTATTTGTTTTAACTTATAATTTAAAAAATTTATTTTTGAAAATCCAAATTATTCAAAAATAGTGAACTTTTCATCATATAAAGTTTTAAATTAGTCCATTGCATGTCTTATTTTGTGCATATATATATTTATATAAATTATTTTAAAAAAAATTCATTGAATCGAGGTTGAACCGGTCCGATCGATTGAATCTCGACCCTTTCACCTCACCGATTCAATTGACAGTCCGAGTTTTAAAACATTGATCTCTCCTCGTCACACCAGTTATCTGGTTCGCCTTCTTTGCGTTGTCGTTTTGCGATGGCGTCGCCCCTACTGCCACCACTTTCATTAACTGCGATAAAACCTTCAACTGCGGCTCCATCACCAACGTCACCTTCCCCTTCACCAGGGGAGACCGCCCCAACCACTGTGGACTCCCCGAGTTTAGACTCACCTGCCAGCAGCCCAACAACGTCGCCGAGTTGACTGACAACTCCGTCACTTACCGAGTCCTCCAACTCGATCAGACCCTCAAAAGATTGACCCTTTCCCGCTCGGACCTCTACAACAACACCTGCCTATCCCATTTCACCAATTCCACCCTCAATTCGACCTTCTTCTCCATCGGCGACCTGGACGACGATGCTTTGAGTGTAATCTACCGGTGCAATTCCTCGGCTATGTCTATTAAGCCCCAGAATTTATTCAGTTGTAGTATTCCCTGAGTGAACTTTACGGATGCTTATTACATAGTCGGGCCGATTCCCAGTGACCCCATTTTGAGATTCATTAATTGCAGCGTCAGTGTTACGGTGCCAATACTGAGGAGTGCTGGGGCGAGGCTCGTGAGTAATGAGATAAGTCTTTCTGAGGCTGTAATGCAGGTTTTAGCGTAAATTATAGCGACCTGTGTGAGAATAATTGCTCCGAGTGTACCCGGGTCGGTGGGCAATGCGGGTTTGATTCGGATTTGGGTCAGCCCGTCTGCGTTTGTAGGGATAGGTTCTGTGCATTAGCACCTCCCCCTCTTTCTGAAGATAGTCAAAATGCTTCTGCAGCATTACAAGGTAGTAGTTTTGGTAAATTATTTGACTGCCTGGTTCCAAGACTCGGTTTTTGAATGTGTAGAAATTTAGAAATGGTAAGCTTATTAGCGTTAGCTGACACTTGAATTTTGGATGTCATTATTTTGATTTGTTTTTGTTGATCTTGAATGATTTATGATGCTTGAAAGCGCTTGCATTAGTTCGTACGTGTCATGAGAAAATTATGGCGATGGCTTCACTAATCCCTGATTGTTGATGGTTTTATGATCATCCGCTACAACCACCCCTCTTAGGTTTATCAATGTGGTTATCCATTTGATAGCATCTGCACATATTAGTGCTCTGCTACTGTGCCTGAACTTTCTTTTGTTCATATGTCCCCTATAAGACTGGTTTATCACTTAGCATCCACCATCGTTATGTGGTTTTGTCTATCATATGTCTAAGTGCTAATGTTTCTTGGTGTTTTGATTCTTGTAGGCGGTAAAAGTGGTCTCGGCATTCCAGGAGGTACTGCCTCATTCTAACCATAACAAACTCAACTTATGCATCTGTGGTTATTGTCTCAGAGCAAAATTTGGTCTATTATGGTACTGAGGGTTGTTCTCGTGGTCGTTTCCTGAAATGCCCTCATTGTCTGGCAGTCCTGACTATTCAAATTATGATAAAGCAGCAAAATCCACCCCACTTCCTTGGAAGTATAGAGTCCACCGAATGGCCGAACTTTTTTTGAACTCATAATCACATGCTAGTACTAGAGGCAATCTTTGTCGGCATTGAATTATGCTCGGCCAGGTGATAATCACCTAAACAATTAGGTGATAGTAACATTAGTATGATACTAAACAATAAGTAATAAAACTTCTTTGACATTAATACATTAAAAATAATAACTTATTTGGTATAGATAAAAAAGATTACTAACTAAAATTAAATGCACATGAATAAAATTTTAAAAATACAATCAAAGTAAGAATAATATTAATAGTAATGTCTCAAAAAATAAATTAATATATAAAGATACAATGAGTTGTTTTACTAACCTTTATGACTTGTTATTATTCTTTTTTTGTTTTTTCAATTATTGTAACCTTTGTCCACACTCAATAACTTAAAAGATTCGAAGACGCTCCTTTTTTTTTGTCCCCTTAACTTTGCAATAACTAAAAGGGTATCTTCAAGAAATTGAGGGTTGTTGGGAGCAGTTGCCCCCCCCAACCCCCACCCTCTTCCATTCCCATTATTTAAGGCTCAGTTGGACATGATCCCTTACTAGGGTAAGTTACTTTAGTCCAATCAATAACTTCTACTAAATTAAGATTTTTAAACTCGCAGCCCCGAAGGTGGTCAAATCTGGGTGCCAGGTAAAAATACAAGTCAATCTTGTTTGATACCAAGGACCTGAAAGAATCAAGGATTTGGATAAGAATAAGTCAGAAATTGTATTTTCAGAGGGGCAATGCTGTGTGACTGAGTGTAAATCCAGTACTCCAGTCATCGAGTAATATGAAATGAATTAGAAATCCCTCATCCAAACTTCATTGGCAGGGCTCTTGACTGTCGTTGCTGTATGTGTTGCTGGGATCATATTACTTGCGGGCATATTGTACTGCTTTCTCAAAAGGTGCTCATCGTGGGAAGCAGTGATCTACTGGAAGTCGGACGAAGGGAATAACCAACAAGTCGAAGCATTCATGAGGAATTATGGATCAGTTGCTCCGAAGCTGTACAAATATTCAGAAATCAAGAAGATGACCAATTCATTTTCTAAAAAATTAGGACACGGAGGATATGGTAGCGTGTACAGAGGTAAGCTATCTGATGGCCGTCTGGTGGCAGTAAAAGTCTTAAATGATACCAATGGAAATGGAGAAGAATTCATCAATGAGGTCGCGAGTATCAGCAGAACTTCCCATGTTAATGTGGTCAATCTCTTAGGTTTCTGCTACGACAGGACTAAGAGGGCACTAATCTATGAGTTCATGCCTAATGGATCCTTGGATAAATTCATATATCAGAAGCGATCATCCGGGGATATGACTAAAGATTGTCAGTTGGAGTGGAAAACGTTATACGAAATTGCGGTTGGCACTGCCCGAGGTTTGGAGTATCTACACAAAGGTTGCAACACAAGAATTGTTCACTTTGACATAAAGCCTCAGAATATTCTGTTGGACAAAGACTTCTGTCCCAAGATCTCTGATTTTGGTCTGGCTAGATTATGTAAACAGAAACAGAGTATATTATCAACGATTGGTGCCAGAGGAACAGCCGGATACATTGCTCCAGAAGTATTTTGTCGAAATTTTGGTGGCATTTCTCACAAATCGGATGTCTATAGTTATGGGATGATGCTTCTTGAAATTGTCGGCTTGAGAAGGAAAATTGGAACTGATTCAGAACAAACAAGTGAGAGATACTTTCCAGATTGGATATATGAACATCTAGAACTTGGGAAGGACCTGGAGATTCAAGGTGTCATGAACGAAGAGGAGGAAGATACTTCAAGAAAGATGATTTTAGTAGGACTGTGGTGCATCCAGACGAATCCAACAGATCGTCCACCTATGGGTAAGGTAGTTGAAATGCTGGAGGGTAGCCTTGAGCATTTGAAAATCCCACCTAAGCCGTTTCCAGAGTCTCCTCCTATGGCCAGGGAGTCCACCCAAGAATCTTGGACATCATCAATTTAAATTTCATGATGAAATTGGGCCAGATAGCAAGTTCCTCGTTAACAGTGAGAAAAATTGAGGCAGGAACTATAATGTACAAGTTCTCCTCATAAGTAGTAGTAATATTTTTGTACATGCTTATTAGCCTTAGAACTAAAAGCTGCCATTTTGCTTGAGCCAATTTTCAACTGCAGTTTCACTTGTAGCTGCTTTACATGTCTATACTGGAAAGTCAATGAGTTGCCTGCTCTACTAATCACCACATAATTTTGATTGCTACTCTTGCAGTCAAATCGGATATGCCCTGGTAATTACGTGCTACTATTATAAGCTTTCTGGCTTTAGATTCCTGACTTGTTCAAAACTACTAGTAATTAATTACAATCCAGATCCAAAAGATAATACGCACTTACATAGGCTGAACTTCTTTTGTGGAAGATTCAGCGACGCGGACCTTGCAATGACGGTTGCTTCTTGTATCCCCACAATTCCTATACCCCGGTGTCCTCCCGTCTTAAAATTTGCGCGTCTTTTTTCTTCGACAATAATTTTGAAAGGGAGACTTGCAAGTCATGGTTCGAAGTCTCGGCCAAGACCGAGACGACTTGGCCGAGTCATCACCGTCTCGGCCCCTATCGATACGATACCGTGACGAAACGATACCGAGATACTTGACTCGCCGAGAAATCGGCCGAGACGTCACCGCGACGGATTGACTCGGCCGAGTCACTCCGATTTATCCCGAGTCAAGACGAGAAATCGGCCGAGTTACACCGTGACGGATTGACTTGGCCATTTCTTTTGCTATTTTTTATTATTTTTGTTTAGCATGCTTTTTTTATATTATTAATTATTTTTAGAATATTAAATACTTTAAAATTTGCGTCTCACCGAGACCGCGACCGATATGCCGAAACCGATGTGGAACGTTCCGGGCCGCGACCGTGACCGCGACCACGACTTTGAACCATGCTTGCAACCAAATTTAGAAAGAGTTCCAGCCATATTCTATGAAGCAATAAATGAAGCTAAAGCAGCTAAGGTGGCAAAAGAGCAAGTTGAGAAGAGAGAACCTGGTGGGGTTTGGTTTATACGCGATGGCCATTCACCAGATAGATATTCACTTGTTGCAATCCATTTAACCAAAACTTACTACTAGAATTATGATTACTTGGGATACAAATATTAGCAAAGCATAATTTGTTTACGCCTTGGTGGTAATATGGAGACTGCACCGGATTCGTCCATTCTGGAGCATAAGTCTGCCAAGCCATATCCTTTCTTCTGCCCACGACTTTTTACGTGTAGACTGATTTAATTAATCTGCCCTCATGACGAGTCCATTGATTTGCTGGTGGATTGAAGCACAAAAATGACATCGACAAAGACTTCAATATCCCGTATGCTTAACAAGTCTCCTCATCAATCCCATCCTTTATTTTCAGTATTTGTTACTGTCGTAGACCAAAAGGAATTGGCAAGCACCGTATAACCTACTTCTGTGATTTCTAAAATTCCCAAGATTTAGAAAGTAGTTTGGCCGAAAGCTGACTAGGTCTGCTAGCGGCCTGGCTTTGGCACCAGGCAGTAATGCACCATCTGAAAATGCAACCATATCAGCAGCTCCTCCTGACCCTCTGCTCCGGTCTTTCTCATGTAGGCATAATCTTCCTCGTAGCATTATTCCATAGTCCTGTATCCATGCATGCATACGATCACCGGCACGAAACTTGCAGTCAACCTCTCGGCTGTGGCAACCTGGGAAACCTTGGTTACCCCTTCTGGGGAAGGGACCGGCCTCAATTCTGCGGGCATCCAAGTTTTGAAATAGATTGCTTAGATGATGTTGATTATGCACTGATCAATATAACCTCATTGACATATGCAGTACGCAGAATCGACACTACTGCACAGACTATGATCGTTGCCAGGCAAGACTTGCTGTACGCCTTTTCTTTTTGTCGACCAGAATTCCTCAACACAACCATTGATCCGAACCTTTTCAGTTATATCACTTCTGATGAGAGAACTTTATTATATGTCTATTACGACTGCAGTTCGAATTTCAGCCGCCCACTTCCTAATTCTTTTCATTGCGAGGCAGGAGCAAAGAACACCACAAATTTTTTCACCACAAACACGAAACTTGCTCCCAGACCCGACTGCAAGTCTATGATAACTGTTCCGGTTGATCGGCGAATAGCTCAGGTCATAGGGAACACTACTAGAGCTACAGGAAATGATCTAAATGAAGCTCTTTCCGGTGGTTTCCCGTTGAGATGGATGGCCAATAATACAAGCTGTGATTTCTGCATTGCATCAGGGGGCCGTTGCGGGTCCATTCCTAATTCGAACACCTTCGCTTGCTATTGTCCGGATAGATCTTATGCATTTTCTTGCAACGACGATCAAACTGGCAGTGGTTCGGTAACTGGCAATCAAAGCATTTCTGGTACAATTACTCCTTTTGGCTGCGAATTCTTTGGAGCATTATTTTGCTTGTAGCTACAATTGGCTGATATTGTAGATCATTTGACTAAGCATACACTATTTTCTACTAAGCATAGAGTATTTTCATGGCTTTTAGATGCTTATTATTCTCCTCTTTCTTTTCTTTTTGGTGGGTTCTGGGACTTTCTTGCTGAAAGATTTCGTCTTTGTTTTTGTTGGAACAGGGCATCGGGGTCGGATCAAGCTTGCAATTGGTAAAGTAACATTTAAAACCAATGTCAAAGGAGATATGGGAATTTTTCATATTTTCATCTTAGTGGATCTGTTTTGATCATTTAAGCTTAATGCAGGCCTTTCAGTCTCACTTGGCTTGGCTGGGATTGTTACTTTGTCAGCTGCTACAATCTACGGCTACACCAAGCTAAAAACCTATAGAAAGCAAGACAAGGGAAAGAACCAAAAGGTTGAAGCATCCTTCAAGAACTATGGATCTCTAGCTCCAAAGCTATATAGTTATTCAGAGATTAAAAAAATAACCAACTCCTTCATTGATAAACTCGGACAAGGAGGATGTGGTAGTGTGTACAAAGGTAAGCTATCTGATGGCCGTTTGGTAGCAGTAAAGGTTTTGAGTGATACCAAAGGCAATGGAGAGGAATTCATCAACGAAGTTGCCAGCATTAGCAGAACTTCGCATGTCAACATTGTTACTCTTTTGGGATTCTGTTACAAGGATGACAAGAAGGCTCTGATATATGAACTCATGCCAAATGGATCTTTAGACAAGTACATATATGAGAAGGGATCATCCAATCCAAGTCTCCTCTTGCATTGGACCACCTCATACAAAATTGCGGTAGGCATTGCCCGAGGATTGGAATATCTACACCGAGGATGCAATACAAGAATTGTTCACTTTGATATAAAACCTCATAACATCCTTTTGAGCAAAGATTTCTGTCCCAAAATCTCTGATTTTGGCCTGGCTAAATTAGGTGAGAGGACTCAGAGCATTATATCCATGTTGGATGCTAGAGGGACACCCGGATACATTGCTCCTGAAGTATTTTGTCGAAGCTTCGGTGGAGTTTCTCATAAATCCGATGTTTATAGTTATGGAATGCTGGTCCTTGAAATGGCTGGCTTAAGAAGGAAGGCTAATGAAGCTGACTCAGAGCAGACAAGCGATAAGTATTTTCCATATTACATCTATGATAATCTGGAGCTTGGAAAGGACCTGAAACTTCAAGGTGTCATGAGTGCAGAGGACGAAGAGATAGCAAGGAAGATGATTTTAGTCGGATTGTGGTGCATCCAGACAAATCCAACAGACCGTCCACGAATGAGCAAGGTGGTTGAAATGCTGGAGGGTGGCCTACAATCGCTGCAAATTCCCCCCAAGCCTTTTCTGTATTCTCCTCCAGCTAAGGAGTCTGCAAAAGAATCTTTGGCATCATCTTCACAATCTTTTGAGGAAACAGAAGGTGACTAGTTGAGATTAACCATTTGTCTTTCCAGTGATGGTTGCCCAATTGTTCGAGGTTTGAATGCAACAAGGGATCTGAGCTGCTGGACTCTTCTGAAGACGGAGTTCCCTCGGGCTGTATACTCTAATTATAAGTGAAACAGGTTTTAGTTTTAAAGAGGTATTGCTGGCAATGCAAATGTAATCTAAAGTACCCTCTTATGCTTCTTTAGCGCAGTAATTGAGTATATGGAAGTTAATAAGCTGTCAAATTAATAATTAAAAACTAAAAATGTAAAGAATTTTTCCAGCATCTGAAGCAAATGAACTACTATTAACGATCAATGAATCCTGCAAAACCCTAACAACTCTTGGCTGCAACTAATAACTACGTCACCTTTTCTTTGTGGTCCTTCCATTAGTTTAACATTTTGAGCTTTTAGCGTATGCAATTCTTGTACTTTGTAAGTACACAAAACCAGAAGAGCTACATGAAGAATATTTTTGACACGACAAGATTTTAGTCTCAACGTACAGCAAGTCACCAAAAAATCCTCATAATTTGCCTCAGCATTGAGAGCCCTTGCTGGAAGAAAAATTGAAAACCAGCTGTCCCAGAGACCAGCACAAATGGTACTCGATGTTAGAGTTCTAAATCCTAATCATCATAATACTGTACCAAAAATACTAAGGTATAGAATGCAAGATGAGGCATTGAATATCTTCGACGAATGATGCAAGCCCAGGTATTGTCAAGTTTCACCTGTACATATTCTGACAGCTTCGACTCAAAGAAGCAGCAATCCAATATTTCCAGAAACCAAACCTCATACAACATGAGATCTTAGCAGAGAAGGTAAAACTGATATATTTTCTTGTGGCGCTGCAGTCTCATCCTTTCCAGTTTCAGATATTCCCATCAAATCAATTTTCCTCTGCATTAACTTTGCCTGCTCAATTAACTAAGCAATTTAGCACAAGAATAGAAGTCGACAGACAGTATACTTTGAAGTAAATCTCTTAGCACAAAAAAATTTAGACAGTTGCAAATAGAGGTAGTAAATAACAAATCATTTGTGGAGGACTTCTCCCAGGTATAGGTATATTTATTTATTGTTTGGTTAATGGTGAGAGTTGATTTAAGAGGCTTACCAGCTTGAATTGCAAATCAGATACCGCCTGCTCTCTTCGACATGCAAAGAACTTCAGAGACTAGAAAAGGCAGCAGACAAAGAAGAGCCACAAAATGAAAATGATGAGTTCCAGCTCTTGTATTAAGGCACAGGTAGGTTGCAAAAATATTTCACAGAATTGAAAACCTGTACAAAGATAAAGAGATTACTTACACCAATTCTCTGAATCTCCAGGGACCTGGACAATGCTTCTCTCCTACTTGGAAGATTTAAAGGTGCCAACTTTGGGCGTCTGTAATTTTTTCCACGATACAGAATGATGGAATGTCCTTCTTTAAGCTTGTCAACAGAGACCAGTATCCCTCCACTTTCAGCCTCAAGAAATTTGGCAGTATAAACCACTTGGGAGAACATTTTCTGCATTGTAATCACCTTTACTATTTCTCTGTGCTTCCAGTACTGATGCAGGCTCTCTATTACACCATTGAAAACCCCACGCCTTCCTGAAGTACAGACAAAACGAAGCAAGATTCGTTTTAGTACCTAATTAGAGGCAAGCACAAAAAGTGTAAGAGAAACGAGGCTATGATGTAGCTTGCAGTGAATGCCAGTTAACTATTTAGACCAAATAGCCCAGGAAATGAAAAAGAAAAAGAATGACACCAAATTAACTACAGAGCAATAGATTAGTTAGGATCAAGCAGGAGAAGATGCAAGGGAGTAGTAAGTATAATACAAGCTCTTGCTTACCAAGAACTAAGCTGCTGACCATTTTTAACCCCATTTTTCGGAGACACTCTCTCTCCTCTTGTGTCAGCATTTCCTGATCTGTATCTCGTTCTGCAGGTCTCCACAATGAATTTAGATCTGCTAATCTTTTGGCTGATTTCTCTATCTTCTTCTTGAGCTGCAAAATACAGCAGTATTGCAAATTTAAGACATAAGCATCAGAATGCAATATGAAGAAACTAATAGGTAATATCCCACAAGCAAAAGCTTGCGCTGCTGATCTCTCAGTTCCCTTTCTAGTTGTTCCTTCTCAGCTTCCAGTTCAACTTCCGCCTTGCTGTTTCCATGTCCAAGGCCCAAATGTTTTGATTGAATTCTGAGGAATTCTGATAAAGTTCCACTGTTAGCAGACTTGCTTGATGGTATCTGAGTAACAGTTTCACTTGCTCTTAGCCGTGCACTTTCTTCCATAAGTTGACATTCTGTGAGCTCCATTTCTCTTATTGTTACTACTTCTGCAACTCGAGAAGGAAGAAAGTCCTTCCCTCTATAAAGGATTATAAGAAACTTATTGCGTAATAACAGAATTCCTCCACTGAGACACTGCATGACAGATTAAGGATCTCATAAGATGCTTATCCAGAGAATCTGAATAGTCAGAAAAATTCCAAACAGCATGACCTTTTTAACTGTAGCTTACCTTAAGCTCATAGGCCATTTGCTTATTGTCTGTGTTTGGAACTCCCCACTTGATAGCAATTTTTGCAATATGACATTTCTCCCAAAGTTTCAAAATTGCTGCAGCCAAGCCATGAAGTTTTCTATTCCTTCCTTCAGGCACATGAAGAAAAATTAGTTCAAGCCCAATTGAACACTGCCAAATAGTTCAGTAAACAAATAAAACATTATTTCTAACAAAATACCAATGGCATTAAGGACATTCCCCACAAAACATTTCATATGCTTTATTTGTGATAAATTAATTATTACAATCTCCCCATTTTGGTAGAATCATCATAGAAGAAAGAAACTTAAGTTCACTGAGATTTTCTTCCATGATTTAAAGACACAGGCAGTAGTAATGTAACTCAGGCCTTGAAAGGAAATGAGATGCATAAGATATTGTCTACCGTACTACCATGCCAAATGCACATATAAACGTTTACGACTGTGTACCTAAATGACTGCATTTTGTTTTCTAACTCAGTTCAAAAATAACTCAACACAAATAGAGGCAAGTCATGTTCATAGGTTGCCACGTACATGCATGAAAGGATAACTGCCTGTCATATGAATATAACAACAAAGACCTTCAAGTATAACCAGATATCCAGGGTAAGTAATTTAACAAGAATGAAGCAGTGATCAGAAAGCATAAACAGGAGAAAGCATGAATAAAATTTGTCTGGTGTTGATCAATAGAGGCAAGAAATTACCCAGTACAAAATGAGTTGGCAATGGGCGAGCAAGCATCCTTAAGTACGTAAGTTCATCATCTGTCAGCTGTGATCTAGCATGGGGAGGGCAGAGCCTAAATGGAGGCATAAATCCAGGTACCACTTCAGGAAGCAAATCACCATCTACTGGCAAAGGCTTTCTCCACCACCAGTCAAGAAAGCGAGGTCCTAAGCCATCCAACAATCTATCAGCTTCCATCTCATAAAGTGACCCATTCATCAGTACATTCTCCTCTTTCTTATCCATTTCGCTCATCATTCCAACCAGACCATGTTCACTAGAGTTAACTTCAGAGGCAATAATCGTGTCTCGACAACAGTTATCAAAGGAGGTTTTCAAAGCTGACAAATAATTGCCCCCTCTGTAAATGACAAGAGCATGTTGCTTTCTCCACACTACAACTCCTCCAGTTTTCATCTGCTTACCAATTAAACAAAGCAGAATGATATTTAAAAGGGCATAACCATAGATAGCTAGGCAGATGATAACAACAGATTCAATCATGTTGACTGATGGTATAGCTTTTTCGCCAGTCAAAAGAAAGTAGAAGCCAATGCTCACCAGAACTGAATTGATTTCCTATGGATTCCAACTGTTTCATCCATAATGACTAACGAGGCTACACCTTAAACCTTTGGCGTAAATCCTAAATTTACATTTCTTTAGTAGGATTTAGAACTTTTTTTTCATGAGAAATGAAGTCAAAGGAAAAATCTCAATTCCAATAATCTCACCAAGGAACAACAGGCAGTGGAAGTTAAGCTAACCTTGTTAAAATAATTTATAAGCACATTTCTAGATTAAGAGCAGAATGCAGATGATAGAAGTTGAATGCCAAGTCAAAAGATGAACAAACAACAAATGAACTTGTTCATGATAAAATAACAGAAGCACGAGAATTAAACTAAACCTCAAGAATTTCTTGTGCTCGGTCCATGTTTCGACACAAGGGAAGATCAAACTTGAGCATTGCAAGTTCATTGTTCTTCCAAATAGCATGAACTCGATGAACAACCTCTTGAGTCACTCCAGCTTTCATAATCTTCACCCATTTCCTCATCCTTGAAGCCTCATCCCTCAACCTATCGAGCAATTCCTCATCAAGGCTCAACTCAGCAGCAGTCACTACCTTCTCCTTCTTCACCTTCCAAGTCACCAACTTCTCACCCCTATCCCATGGCATTTTGCCGCCAAATTTTGCCTTCCCTTCACCTTCAACCTTTCCCAGTTGAAAACCAACCTCAGATTCTTCCACAATCTTCTGAGCGTGCATCTTTTCATCTTCCCTCTCGGATATAAATCCCTCAACAGATGCAGAGTCCCCACCTCTCGAGAGCTCTCCAGGTGAGAATATGAACTTTACCATTTCTGGTTTTTTGTGGGTTTTTTCTAAACTTTTGCTGTCCTGAAGTTTCTTAATGCCTTTAAAAATCTTCTTCATTTCTTTCTTGCCTCTCCCAGCACCCATTTTACCAGTCAGAGCCTGATCAGGGTGGTGGTCTTCAATTCTGCCAAAGTTTGAGCCTTTTTTGCTTCTTGGTCTATCAGAGAGGTTTAAGAATTGATTGGGTTCAACAAGAAGAGGACCCTGCATCCATGGAGCAGTTGGGGCTTTGATAACTGAACATGGTTTTGAAGTAGAAGGCTTTGATGATGATAAGGATAATTCCTCATTTTTGGGTTCAATGCCACTGCTGCTCCTGATGTTGTTTTCGTCATTGATGGTGGAGAATTGTGTGGAAGGGGGAGTTAAATTAGCTGTTGGTGGATGAGAAGATAATATTGGTTTACCAATCTGGCCGGAATTACAAGAAAAATGGAAGGTATTTGATAATCGAGGGAAAAACAATGTGTGAGACATGACAGATTTCTAGTTGGAAGGATGATGATATAGTAGTCTGTCGTCGCGATATTTGATCAACTTTACTTTGAAGAGAGGCAGAGAGCTCTGCAGCTGAGTAGCCGGAGCCTCGAGGGCTTCTCTTTTCCAGTGCAGCAGCAGAGACAATGGTAATATATCATGCTTGAGCCGTTTTTCTCTAATAGCTAGTTTGTGAGTTGAGGATAGAAAAGAAAAGAAGAGAAAGGGTAAGTTATGTGAGAAAAGAAAGGATAAAAAAAAAATTTGTAAGCTTCCATCAGTTTTCCTTCGCTTTCCGCCCGTTTTGGTCAGAAAAATTTTGCACTGTAGCAGCGCTTGGCTTCTCTTCAAGATCCGTTCGTTTCTTTTCTTTTCCGTCTCACTTAAATCTCCCAAACGTGAAAAGTCCACCTTTCCCTTCCTTTCTTTTCTATTCCTTTGAAATCTGAACTCCCAAACTAGCTATTTAGTATTTGTTTTTGTTTTGTTTATTGGGTTATTTTTAATCCCTATTCTACTATTATTTCAAGGATTTTTTTTTTAATTGTTTTGAGAATACTCTGACTCTTTTCCGAAATTTGACCATCCGATTGTACAAAGCCGATCAAGCTGGTGATGTAATTCTATGCTTCGTTTTAAAAATTCATCCAAAACAACTCGTTGATTTTATACTGCATGCCTAAAGAAATGTACTGGCTGATTTTATACTTCTACGGTTGATATCATGTTCTGTAAGTTATTTAACGTTTTGCCAAAGGAACATAGTTTGCCTTGCCAGTTGCCCCTGGATCTGAAGCTAGCTAGTCATTCAGTTCCCTTCAGTAGCCCTTCTAACCGTAATGAATTTTGGCCATCTCCCCATTTCAAGATACAGCAATTACCGCAGCAAGGAAAATCATCACAACCAAGGGAAGACAACTAAATGAAACTTCTACATAATCATGTCGTAAACCAGCACAATTTATATTATCTACCTCGCATATAGAAACACTAACACGAGAATGAGGTCTTCCCATATCATCCTTCACTTTAAGTGCAGAAATCCAACTAAACAACCAGGCTAAGTACCAGAATTCTATTAACTTTGTAGGACAACCGACCCCCCTTCCCCCACCTCCCTCAGGCAAAAACAAAAGGTGAAAAAAAAAATCAAATTACACATTACGGCTTCTTGGCCTCATCCTCCTCAGGGTCGCGAAGCGTGTTAAACATCCAGTCCATCCATATTGTGTAGTGGCCGTAATTATGGCGATATGTGGTGTGGTGAATTGTATGGTAACCAGCACCCATTACAGGCCATATTTTACCATGTATGCAGTCATGGATGTTTGCAGTCCATACAGCCTCCATGAATAAGAGGGCTATGTGTGTAGTAAAATGCATGGGCAGCAGGACGAGAGCTACCACATGTGGTACTGCCTGCAGTATGCCGTCCAGTGGGTGGAATGCCAAACCTGACCAGAAAAGTTACAGCTCGTTAGTGTTTGATCTCGTAGAAAAGCAACCATGAATATAACAAACAAAATAGCATATCATCATGTCCTACATTACTGTGCATTGATCTCCGATACTGCCAAACTGAAAGTCACTCAACAGAAGATAAATAAAGAGACATCCGTAAGGCTTTTTCTCCCACAAACAAATAATAGATATGGAAATAGAAAAATATAAACAAGAAAGTTGTTAGTTTTAGGAACATTTAGAAGACCAAAGAGAGGAATTAGCAAGTCATACATAAACACAAAATACCAATTTTACAGTAGAACAGAATTTTACCATGCCTAAAAGGGGACAAAACAATTTAAAAAAAAAAAAAGCACCGTTCTTTCTGTGCAATTACATTATGAGTTTCAAAGAAAGCCAAGATATCAGTCCTAAGACGTGGAACCCTTGTGCAAGCCACAGCAGAATCTGTTTGTGGCACTTGCTGAAGATATCTTTTTCATTGGCTTCAAAAAGTTCACAAGGACTTAGGGCTAAGTGCACGTGCATGTGTAAAATATAGGAGTATAGCACAAGGATGTATCAACAGAGTAGCATTCTCAGTGTTCCATGGCCTTTGTCAGTTTCATCTTAACCTGATTCCGTCAAATACAAAGTTGAAATGATTTTGATGCAAAGAACCTAGAAAATTGAATAATACGTATCAACATATTCGAGTTTTTCAAATAAAACTCAAATATCCTTGACCAGAGTTCCCGAATAGCCCGCTTGACTATCACGACCAGTTTACTTGTGCAGCTTACCATGTATCTACAGTAATCATTGACAGCACATGGGGATATCCGAGATCACATAAAATTGGCACATGGGACAAAGTGACCAACAATATGCCCTCGTGGAATCTTTTGTTTAAATCTATGTCAACAAGTCTGAGATTTATGCAACTTTTTAAGCCCACAAGTTTATGAAATTCCATAGAAATTTATAATTTAAGCAGAAAATGTCGTCATTGTTTGTCATCATAAAAGCATTTTAACTTCAATTCAAAGAACGCAAATACAAGTAACTGCATAAGGACTTGGGACTAGGCAACTGGCAATGAACCATATGGCAGAATGTGTTTCATTTTCGGAAAACCAGCTTTGCCACAAGTTTTTTATTCGAAACATGGAACTGGTAATTGAAGTTCACCAGAAACAGATGCCCAAAGGGAACATAAGTAGCTGGCATAAAATATGAGTACAACTCTGCATCAATAAATCAGACAAACAGCATTTTGTTGGTGTCATAAAAATACCAAACAGAGCAAAGCAGAAGCTAGTATTTCTGACAGTTACATTCATTCACTAAAAGCTACAACGCTGCTTCTGTCAATACAAGATTCACAGATGCTAATACATACCAGCAAAAGGAGATAGCGTATTCTGCTTGTTGTAGACGTGATGAGTGGCATGAAGATACTTGTAAAGAGGCTTTATGTCATGCAACTCTCTATGCATCCAGTAAATTCCAAACTCCACAAATACAAGATAAGCACTGAGATATAATAGGTAGGGAAGCCAACCAACATCGCTTATTCTCGAAAAGCACTTTGTTCGTCCATTTTCAATCATGTGCTCAGAGAGTGTGGGAAGAAGAGTATACCAAGGCATTGCTTTCATCGCCACATATATTTGCAAGAGCATGGCTTTATTTGAAGGGATAGCATCTGCAACCGAAGCTTTCATCAGGACTAGAAGTAGAAATGTCCTTAATGCTTCTAATATAGCAAAACTGAAAGCTAAAGCATGGCAGATTAAATTATAGCACATATTGCACATTAAAGTTGCCTTTGTTTTAAAGTATAAAATCATAAATGACGTTTTTACTTATCCAGCAAATGATGCTGACAAAATATTGCAGAACGCCTTATGAGCTCGTAACTACACATAACCTTGATTCAGAACTAATTGGTTTCCATGTTATGAAAGATGTATTTAATGTCCAACAGAACCTAACCAAGATGAGAAAAATCATATGCTGTTTGCATAGCCTACATAATGAAGACTATTTCTTTTCTTGCACAAAAACATATTGGATTATAGTGGTCTTTTTTATGCACTTCAAAATTTTGAAAGGAATTATAAAAGCCCCTGTACATACAGTCACAAGTTCACAATGTGGCTTTATAACATAGGCCTTTTAGCTTTTTGGTACGGCTTTTGATCTGTCATGTACTCACACTCTGAAAGGATGTCCTGCCAGCACTTCCCTTGGGGAAATTATCTTGCGCAAAAAGTGAAGATTTATGATTAAATTCTTTACATTAATAACCACACATTAGAAAGTGAAAGACAAGACAAACAAGATATTAAGCCCTAAAGCAAGTAACTTCTTCAAGAAAACAAGTGTGTTTGGATTGTAAATTATTTGAGATAATTTTGTGAAAAAAGTACTGTAGCATTTTTTTGATATGATGTATGTGAGATAAAAAAGTGATTGGAAAATGTGTTGATGCCAAGCAAGTCAGTGTGTGTAAATAATGTGTAAATAAAGTGTAATAATTTACAATCCAAACACAATCGATATGAAATACAAGTTCCATCTCATGTTACATAGCCTGTCTTATACCCTTACCACTGTAACTAACCGCTTGAATTTTACCTAACAACTGAGATGAGATCTTCATCCTACAGGGCTAAGTAAATCCCTATTCTCCTGTAAAATCTATTTAGGGCCATGTCATCTGCCAGACTATTACCTTTTATCAATCATCTTCCACTAACTTTCCAAGTACAAATCATATCAGAGGTTCAAATCGGTATATCAATGAATCGATGAAGTCAATTTTGATTCTATTCTTCAACAATTGTTACTATTAGCCAAATGTGAAGGAAAGGCGGAGGACTAGATGATTGAGAAGGACAACTAAGCAGATAACTTGAGTGTTAAATACATGTAACAAATTAACAATCTTTTACATGAATCACATCAGATTTTGCCAAAAAGTTAGTTATTTTAGCAAACAGGGAAGGACAATCAGTCAATTAACTGCAAAGAAAGGGAGGGGGGGTGGGGGGATCAGCTGAACAAGCTATAAAAAAAAATTTTAAATACCCACTGTTATATGAATGTGGAATGGTCACCCACTGATGCAGACAAGCATTAGCGGCAATACAATCAGTGAGAAACTGATTAGAAATAAATTCTTTTTAAAGCATAACAACAATGTCCATGCGATTGAGTGACATCTGTTAGTCCAAAAATTATGAAACAGAAAATATGCATCTTTGACCAAATAAATACTAGATCGGAAATCAACAGTAGTACCATTTTGCAAGAGAAATATTTGATTGCGTTTGAAGAAAAATAAGTAAACGAACAATAAAATTGATACTGGAAAAGAAAGAACCAACAACGACAAGATGTTCTTAATTGGAAAATGGATTCAAGAACATTTTGAAAAAATAAGTTGGGATGCAAGAACCTTTAGGAACGTAGACATTTCGCCTGAGATGGTAGATATACAAACACCAGAGGAAGCCGGAGATGAAGTAAAGTAAGGTGCCGCCAATGTAGTTGCGGAGCCATCCCCGGAAGAAGTGTGGGAGAGGAGCCCACCATCTGTCCGGCAAGAGAGAGGCCAGAACAATGTCGTTGTAGAAGGACGTCTCCTGCACAAACAGCTTCAAATATTCCTCATCCATCTCTATATATCTAGTCTATCTTCTGACACAGCAATAGTCA